AAATTTTTCCCCCCCCCCCCATATACAGAATCCAATTATCTCCGCCCCTGCAACGATGGTATAGAAGCTTTACAGCTGACCAGCCTGGAATATATACAGACTGTAGGGTAGTCCTTCTTAGGTCTTAGAAGAGAAGACACTTTGGCTAAACAACTTTTCAAAGAGATCAAATACAAGACCTGTACTGATCCGAAGCCAGCTCAATCGACAAGAATTCTTGAAAGAAATATACGATTTAAACTAATTTTAAATTCTTTTGATGTATCCAATTCAAATTATCTTTTACAAATAATAAAAAATCAATTTTTTGTGAAACATTAGTGTTATTCATTAATATAATTTTTAATTCATTTCGTATCAACACTAATATTGAACAAATCATGTTGTATTAAAAAAGCATCCCTGACTGCAGTTTCAGTAATTTGCCGCCAAGAGAAGAAGGTAAAACGTCAGGCTATCTATTGGATAGGAATATATTCTTTATGTTTGAGAGGTTTGGGGATATTGAATAGGATTATATTCTTTGTGTTCAGTTGTTTAGGGGATATTCGATAGGATTAAATTCTTTGTGTTTGAGTGGTTTGTGGGATATTGGATAGGATTATATTCTTTGTGTTTCAGTGGTTTGGAGGATATTGGATAGGATTATATTCTACGTGTTTCAGTGGTTTAGAGGATATTGGATAGGATTATATTCTACGTGTTTGAGTGGTTTGGGGGATATTGAATAGGATTATATTCTTTGTGTTCAGTCAGTGGTTTGGGGGATATTGGATAGGATTATATTCTACGTGTTTGAGTGGTTTGGGGGATATTGAATAGGATTATATTCTTTGTGTTCAGTTGTCTGGGGGATATTGGATAGATTTATATTCTTTGTGTTTTGTGGTTTTTAAGATACTGGAGAGCTTTATATTATACATGTATCAGTGGATCGGGTGATACTGGATAGCATTATATTATTCATGTTCCAGTGTTTTGGAGGATATTTAAAAGGAGTTTATATTATGCATGTTTGAATGGTTTGGAGGATATTGGATAGAATTATATAATTCATGTTTCAGTGGTATGAAGGATATTGGATAGATTTATATTCTTCATTTTTCATTGGTTTGTGGAGGATATTGGATAATATTATATTTTAATGTTTTAGTGGTTTGGAGGGTAGGATTGGAGATATACTGGATAGGATTATATTCTCTATCGTTCATATTCTCGCGATGTCTTCTGCTGTTTCCAACCCAATTATTTACAGCTATTTCAATCAGGTATAAATTTTCATACTATTTTGCATCGAAAATTTTGACCCTGTTCACGCGTAGTTCTTCTGAACCTGATAAGCAACCTCTCGTGATTATGTTTACAACATGATAAAGCTTTATATTTTTATGTTAGCTCTAGCTAACATAAAATTTGTTCATAGGGTACCCGTGGGTACCTTGTGAGTAACGAAGGCTAACTTCTTTTTTAATTCAACGGACTACGTCGGCACGTCAGCTAGTTATCAATATTTCCGAAGTTGGTATGTACTAAAAAGGAATTGAGTTTCTGTCACAAACTTATTTTTTTAATTCCAATATCTTTGCAACCAAGTATTGTAGACCTTTAATATTTCAAACTATAAATTATGCTAATAAGAGAGTCTAAGTTTGAAATATCAAAGGTTTACACCTACAGGTTGCGAAGATATAAGGATTAGAAAATTTGAGTTTGTGACAAAAACTCACTTCCTTTGTCAGAATACTTCGGAATGAAAATAACTCTATGATTTCTGGGAAACCCTATTTTTGTAAAGGAAATGTTTATAGCCAGAAATACTATGATTGTAAATTTACTTTTACTTTATAAGTTTATATCAAGAAACTGTGCCAACATTTCTTTCTCAAATAAAATAATTTTTAATAATAACAGTAGTTCCAAGAAAGAAAAACAGTACTAATACCTTATTTTAAGATAAATTGGTTAACATCCGAGAAAATAAATAAGATTCACATACAAATTTTTTCAACAAATCAAGGCTAGAATAGAGTACTAAACATTTTATTTTGTAAAAGTTGATTTTTCGTATTATATTAAAACTTAAATTTCTGACTTTTAAGTTTCCCACTTTAAGGGTATTAAAAAAGGGTTTCCAATCGGAATTCAGTTGCGCAGAATTGCAAGGAATTGTAATGAATTACAGGGCTCGCAATTGCTCGCAATTTAATTCGAACTGCGTTGGAAAACCTAGATTTAAATTCAAATATTTAATTAATTGCGAATTTCCAAGGTTTTTGAAATTAAATTCTTTTGAGGATTTTTTCATATAATTTTTTTTACTTGAAGGGATTCCGTGTTGAGTTTAAAAGATTAACTGGAAGAAATCATATCGCTACCCCACCACCAACCAGGACTCAGGTAGGGATAAAATCATATTCCACCATCTACTAGGACTCAGGTAGGGATCAAATCCTACCCAACCACCTACTAGGAGTCAGGTAGGGATCAAATCATATTCCACCACCTACTAGGACTCAGGTAGAGATCAAATCCTACACCACCACCAACAAGGACTAAGGTAGGGATCAAATCATATTCCACCATCTACTAGGACTCAGGTAGGGATCAAATCCTACCCTGCCACCAACAAGGACTCAGGTAGGGATCAAATCCTACCCTACCACCTACTAGGACTCAGGTAGGGATCAAACCATACCCCACCACCAACAAGGACTCAGGTAGGGATCAAATCCTATCCTACCACCAACAAGGACTCAGGTAGGGATCAAATCCTACCCTACCACCTGCTAGGACTCAGGTAGGGATCAAATCATACCCCACCACCAACAAGTACTCAGGTAGGAATCAAATCATACCCTACCACCTACTAGGACTCAGGTAGGGATCAAATCATACCCCACCACCAACAAGGACTCAGGTAGGGATCAAATCATACCCCACCACCAACAAGGACTCAGGTAGGGATCAAATCATACCCCACCACCTACTAGGACTCAGGTAGGGATCAAATCATACCCCACCACCTACAAGGACTCAGGTAGGGATCAAATCATACCCTACGACCTACTAGGACTCAGGTAGGAATCAAATCATACCCCACTCCCTACTAGGACTTAGGTAGGGATCAAATCATACCCCACCACCTACCAGGACTCAGGTAGGGATCAAATCATACCCCACCATCTACTAGGACTCAGGTATGGATCAAATCATACCCCACCACCTACTAGGACTCAGGTATGGATCAAATCATACCCCACCACCTACTAGGACTCATGTAGGGATCAAATCCTACCCCACCACCAACAAGGACTCATGTAGGGATCAAATCCTACCCCACCACCAACAAGGAATCAGGTAGGGATCAAATCATATTCCACCACCTACTAGGACTCAGGTAGGGATCAAATCATATTCCACCACCTACTAGGACTCATGTAGGGATCAAATCCTATCCCACCACTTACTAGGACTCAGGAAGGGATAAAATCCTACCCCACCACCTACCAGGACTCAGGAAGGGATTGAATCCTACCCCACCACCTACCAGGAATCCTTTTTCCGATAAGAAATGTGGAAGAAAACGTCGTCTTTCTACGTGTGGTTATTTTCAGCGAATTTCTCCAAGTTGTTTCTTTTACGTAAGAAAAGTGCAAGACACTTTCGCAGAGAAACCAAAAATTAAATAAACAGTTTACATAATCAAATACATGAATATCTAATTCATACTTGATCAGACAAAGCTTTTAAGATTGCCGTTGTAAACCGGGCATTGTCACCTTTGCATGACGGGTTATTTAAAATTACACGTACAGTCCCTTTAACTGTGAAGAAAAATCAGCATGTTGAAAAAAACTTCTTCGAAGCTTGAAATGTCTAAGGCCTACGACATTGTATTGCAAAAAATATAGAAATTATAAACAGAGGCTCAATTTCTTTCAAACATAAATGCATTACATATCAAATAATGTGCCCTAATAAATGTGTTTGAATATATCTATAAAAAGTATTATATTATTCTGTCTAATTCAAAAACTTCGATATTTTCATGTTTTCCCACAAAAAAAAAGATTTAGATACTGTTAAAGTATTGATTTTAGCAAAAATGTATTCCGAACTATTTTGACAGTTTTTTAGCAAGTGACATTTTCATTTTTTTTTAATTGCTTAATATTATATGCAGTCACAGATTCTAAAACATTAACCTGAGAGGAGCCTTTTTTAAATGGATAGGGTCACGGACAATGGATGAGATTGTTTACAGATTATTTGAAACTTTTTAAATATGATGATTCCAAGTTAAATCGAGTCTTCTTTCCGGAGCGGCGTTTTTAATGACTTGGCAAAGACTTTCAAATTGATTGATATGTTTTGCATTTTATTTTCTGTTTGTCTTTATTAACAAAAATGATTGCAAAAGATTAACTTGTTTTTATCTCTGAGAATGATAAACAATAATACTTAAATCTTTCATGCTAAACCCGACTTAAACCCTAAAATACATTTCCATATAAAACGCATGAATAAATTATTTAAACCAGTATTAATTGTATTATTTGGTTCCCCCTCAATATTAATAATTTGATTGCATCGTTTGATAAATGAGTTACGTATAAAGAAATGTTTAAAAAATGATTTCATCAAACTACAAAATATTTAGTTCGCTCTTCTCAAGGGAGTAACAATACAGTGCGGTCCTCTGAATTATGCAAATGTTGAATTAAAATTTAAAATGATTTTTTTTTTATCATGGGGGTTAAATAAGAAAAAGTGGATTTTTTTACAAAAAAATGTGTCAACTGATATTGTACTTGTGCTTACAGTTATTGCTCAGTTGAAATTGTTTTGGTTTAGAGGTCAGGGAGGAAATAATATTATTTTTCATTATTTATCCTGTTTTGATTAAATCAATTTTATTGCTGATCAACGTAAAATTTATGGATATCAAAATATAGGTGTTTTAGAACGGAAAAGGTATTCTAAAGGGGGGTCTAAAACTGCGAAAGATTGTGATATCCTTAAACTATTAAGGGAAATGACAATAAACCCCCCTAAGACCCTAAATTTTTACTTTTTGAAGCAACAGGGGTGGCTGTAAACCCCTAAAGTAGCTAATTTTAGAGTTCGGAAGACAATGGGTTGTTTTTTAAAACAGTCCCTTATGAGCCCCCTATAGGGCAGTCACCATCAACGACGTATTGAATGGGATCTGGAGAACCTGCAAACTGACTTTTCAAAAATAAGTTCTACCAAAGAGGCTAGGGTAACCCTGGAGAGTCCAGACAGCTAGGTTACAGAATGGGTAAAAAATTAGCAAGATGCCAAGACGAGAAATTGGCCCCAGCGGGGAAGGGGAGGAGTTAAATTTTAGCATTGATCATCAAAGACAACCTGGTTGAACCAACAATAATACCAGAAGGATTTAAAATTAGCTATGAAGCCTGTTTTGATCTCTTAGAGGCTAGTTTATCCTCCTGGTTTGATTAACAAATCCAGCAAAACAGAAGTCCCTAGTTTTTGACTGGATAAAGCCCTAAGTCATGTATTAAAGTGCACCATGAACTGAATAAAGTTATAAAGGTTGATGGGAGGCCAGGTTATGACCGGACATCAAAATCTGGCTGACCTCAACCCCATAGAAATCCTTCTGGCGATCATGAAACATGAAATTTTGGGTCCAAGGAAACCCGTTAAAAGGTCATAAAAGAGGCTTCAAAGGATAATCCAACCTCCAAAAGCTTCAAGCAAACGCCTCTATGGATTCCATATGTTGCTTAAGCTTGTACAGAATTGCCATGTCAAAAATGATTTGTGCTATTTTTAAGATTTTTAAAATATAACAGGGTTTATGAACCCCTTTATACATTTTTTTCAAAATCCAAACTTTATTTTAATACATTATACAATTGTTATTTACAAGCGTTTTTTGTTAATATTTGCAAACCAGGAGCAAGATACAGGCCAGTTGTATAACACATGGTACACTAAATTTATATGAAATACTTATAATCTATAAGACCCCTTCTTTTCAATTTCAAAGTAACATTAAGCATTTGCATATAAAATTACAAAGAGTAAATAGTGACAGCAGGAGAAAACAGGCTCAGATTATACATTTTCAAACTTTTAACTGTATGCTGTGGAGAAATATTTATGTTCAAACAGGAGCTGGCCATTACGATGATGCAGAGCTTCACACAGGAAATGGAAACAGTAATGAAAAAAGAGGATTTTGATCATGTTCTTTGAAATGGTGATTTCAACTGTGATTTTAGCAGATATGCCACTTTTGTGGGAATAATTCGGGATTTTTTGCATAAAATTTGACTTCTAGCAGTGTGGGAGGATAGCCAACATTCTGTGAACTACACTAAATACATGTGGATCTACAATCTACATCAATACTGGACCATTTTATTTGCAATGAAAGTCTTCTTCCAATTCCATTCATCATTGATGTCGGAGTTTTACATCTTGGTGATAATTTGGACAGACACTCTCCTATCCTAAGATTTAAATACAGGAAATATTCCAATGAAACCTATCCCTGAAGAAATACCTAAACCTCGTAAACCTGCCTGGTATTAAGCTAAAGAAGAGCACCTAGATCAGTACAAATGTTTACTACATAAGAAGATTATGAATATCGAGCAACCACATTCAATTTACTGTTACAATGCAGCTTGCACTGATATATTGGGGATCTCTTCCTTGGTGTTGTGGCCTACTGTGATGATTTTCTGCTGCTGTCTCCTACCAGAAACGGTTTACAAAACCTACTTCAACTTTGTGAAAAGTATGCTGAGGAGCATAATATTTCCTTTTCAACAAATCCAGATCCATCCAAATTAAAGTCCAAATGTATTTATTTTACTTGTGGACGTGACAGAAAACCGGTGGAGGTCGTCCTTATTTATCAGAAGCTGCACAGGGTCAGTCAGGTTGACCATCTTGGTCATATCATTCATGAATCAGGTTCACAAGATGTAGACTGCAGAAAGGCTAGAGGTGCCTACATCTACTGAATTATTGGGAATTTTCCAATTCTGCTCACCACTGCAAAAGTTATATGTTGTGCAAACTTATTGTTGTTCCTTTTATGGAAGCAATATTTGGAACCTTTTCAGCGAGTATGCCTGTCAAACCTACCAATCTTGGAACACTACAGTTAACCCTAAACAGGCTGGGGTGGCGCCCCCCCCCTGTAGTTTTTTGTCCTAGCACTCTCATTTTTGACACCATGAAATTTTGTGACTTTTATTAAATAGTAATTTTGCATAGTTGGAATCCACTGATTTGGCAAGTTGGATTGATATCTGCATATTCTCTACAGGGCGACTTTGGAAGCAACATTTCAAATATCTCAGACAAAACTCTCTCTAGAATAAATAGCCCGCCAAGAGCCATCTTTGAAGAATGTGGGCCGCTCACCATTCAAGAAGAAGTTGATATCGAATGTCTGCAGCATCTACTGTTACAGCTCTGGGACTGTGAAGAAGACGACATCAGAGAAGAATTAAAGTTGTTAGTTCACAACTTATTTATAAATTGAATTTATAGTCATATATAATATCTAATCTAATATTTGAACCAATTTTATGACAAATAAATCATGTGCATAATTCAGTGGAACGCACTGTAGTTCTTTCCTTAAAATAACTTGCTCTCAAAACACAGCAATTGGTTTATGGGGGGGGCAGGTGAAATTATATTATTTTAGGGATATTTGTAAAAATAAGTCTTTAATGAATCAATGTGTTATTAGTATTCCTTAATTAACCGTCTAATTAAGAATATTAAACAACAAAACCAAGACTAAATGTTTCAAAAATAAAAAACCCAAATATCTGTCATCAAATGAATAGATCTCTATGAATATTCTAATTGATCAAAATCCATACTTTTATTAGAATTATTTAATATCAGACTATATCTGAAATGACTGCAATGTGTGATGTACAAATGTTAACTTTATTTTTTTTCTATTTATACACCTACTGGTTGAAGGGGGCGGTAAATAATCAATTCAGCCAGGATTTTTTTACAAAATTTTTTGAGATTTTTTAAACATTCTTTTCAACCCAAGCAAAGCGAAAAAAGTTAATTTCAGGATGAATTTATACCATAGTATAATATGGGCAGCAAAGAAAAAAATTTTATTATTCTGAAATAATTAACAAAGATTATTGCATTCTTGAACACAACCATCATGGATGGTTGCTGGAGAATCTGGACAGAGGGAGAGACAATGATCAAGATCTCCTCCTGGACAATCTCCTCCTGACCCTCCTGTAGTAGTAGTTACTGGTTCACCTCCAAAGAAAGTAGATCCAAGGGTTCCAACTTTAAGGTTGGAAATCTTTACTGTAGCTTTGGGATAATTTGCTTCCAGGTCAGCTGGGTTTCCTTAAATATTTAAACAATGAATTTTGTAATTTAGCTGGTTTTTATTTTATTTTATAATTTAAATTTTCTTTTTGACATCAAAGCTTATTTTTTTAAACCAAACTGTGTTTCAGATTCATTTAATTTCAATAAAAATCAGGATTTAATAACAAAAAAACATATAGCTGTATTAGTCCAAATCTAGCGGATTTAGATCTGTATTGTAAGCAATCGAATTCTCGACCAATTAACCTTCGTTAATTTATGATTTTTTCAATATTTTCAAGCACGCTACTTTATTCATTTGTTAATTTTTTACAATCACCATTCTCGGTTAAAGACGCCCAGCTCTATACTTATGCTGAACCTTTAACCAAAAGATTAGTTCTCTTACCAGAATCTGTAGAACAAGAACCTCTACTGACTCCTGGTTTACTTGGATCCTAATATAATTCAAAAGTTAATTTTATAAGTAGCTAAAGACATGTAATGTAATGTAAAGATGAGAGAAAATAGATATAGAGTATATGTGTACTGGAGCACAAGCATAATCAGGTAGATAAAAAAATTTTAGAAATTTCTTACACTAGGTAACTAAATGGCGCTAGCATTAAGTTTATACATAATCTATATACTCTAATATGTGAAGGAAATGCTTACAGCATCAGCTGGGAAGTTGCTGTCAAGCCAGAGCATACCAGCTTCATGATCATCCCAGAGGGAAAGTACAAGAACCATTCCATTTTCCATTGAGTCTCCAAAAGCCTGAAGTTCAAACAAAAGACTGTATTAACAATTGCAACCTTTTATATACTAAATCATATAACAGTTAAGGAAAGTATTAATCACCTTCATGCCACCCTTTTCTTGGAAAGCCAGGGGATCACCAAATGCATTCTTGGATTGCTCACACATTTTTTCATTCACAGAGTCAGTTTTATCAACACCTAAATCAAATTAGTAAAAAGTATTCAAACTATGCTATCAAGTTGTGTTGTGAGTATTCAAACTATGCCGTCAATGTTTTGTTTTGAGGGTTTCGATCCTCTTTGAGTAAATGTTGAATGAAGGTTACCCTCATAGCTCACTTGATAGGGTTTCCAATTTCTTTTAAATCAATTTTATTCAGCACTAGTCTTAGAGGGTGCTTCGCGCCTATCTTCTAAATTAATTGTGAACATGTTCTCTTTGTGTACATCGTAAAACAAAACAAAAATAATTCGCGGATTTTCACAAAAAATTTCGCGGATTTTCAAAATTTTCAAAAATTTAATGAAGATCGAATTTTGATGGAGACAAATATTTGAAATTTTGATCATTCATAAACCTTCCCTGTGGTCATGTGATGTCCCACAAAAAATTTGGGCCTGATCGCGGTTCAGCCGTTTTGACGTTTATTGGATACAAACAGACAGACACCCAAACAAACAAACAAACAGACAGACAAGCCAAATTTATATATAGATATGATTACTGAAGCTGAAGAATAATAAGCAATTAAAAACTGTTAAAAGTCAAACTTTGATAACCGATTCTCCAATAAAACTAGGCTCTTGATGCTGCACATAGATTGTACATATTTCATATGACATGAGGTAACAGATAGTTAAACTTCATATGGTAATCATACAGAATAATTGTCCTATTCTTAACTCAGATAAAAGAGTTTCAATACATTTTACACAATATATTGGTTCATTAAGATTCAGAAAATGTCCATAATTGATCCAGACAAAATTGGAAACCTTATCTATTGCTAAAGATGTATCAACTTTATGCAACATCTCTTAATTTCTATATTTTCCATATAGATTATGTTAACAACTTGTATATGTTCTTGACAATCTTACCTGGTACATTTGAAAATGAATTTGCAATTAGGACTCCATTCTGAACATACAGTCGTCTCATCTCCACCAAATCTCCAGTATCTGTGCCATCATTAGTTATAAACTGTGTTACCACAGTCATAGGTTTAGTAGTATCAACCTAAAATTATGGGGCCTTTATGAAAAACAAACTTCTATCATGAAAAACTAATGCTGTTCAAGTTATCTAAATATAGAAGTAATCTCTGTTTGTTGGCTTGTTGTTTTGGTTGTCTGATCATAACTCAGGAACCCCATCAACTTTTATAGGAAAAATAGCTAAAATTGTAATTTAAGACCATGCGCTGGTAACGGCTGGAATAAATATGAGTAACCTAGGCAATGCTGGGTTCCCAAGCTATTCAATTGATAATAATAAATCTTTGTATACCTTAAAATTTGATCCAGGTCCAAAAAAGGTTTGATCCCCCATTCTCCAGCTATGAAAATCACACCCGTCCTTGTCACAAAGACCGTCATATCTATATACAAGTTATTACTTCTTGTAAGTTATGCTTTAAACTTAAACCATACCTTTCCCCACTTGCATTATCCCCACAGTCTTTTCCTTCACATCTCTGAAAATCTCAGATATTATGTAATTTAACAGAGTGTAAAAAAGTGAATGTAGGATGATATGATGCAAAAAAAAATTCTAATTCTTCAAAATTAGTTTGGAAAATAATATGTTTTTATTGTAAATATTTCCTTGGAGTTCTGATTCTTTTGAATTTAAAAACTGTAAAAAAATGTTGAACTGAATTTGCTGTTAAATCTTTAAAGATGTCTCTAGGTCTACTTACCACTGGACCTGTAGTATCACATGGGTGAAGAGTGAATGCTGTAGATATACTATTTGCTTCCCAAATATCTAACTCAACACAACAAGATCCATAATGACCAACACCGGCATTGGCATCATTGTCACTTAAAAAATTTTCTAATTTTGCAAATTTAACATGATTAATCTTTACTAATTATTTAAAACTACTTTACAGGGAAGTTAAGGGAATTTTACTTCATCAAGGACAAAGAGAATAGATTTTATATTCTATTCTCTTTGACCAAGGGTTCCCAAGACCAAAATTGGGGTCTAAAAAAACCGTGATTAAGTAAAATTTCAAATTTCCCAAAAAAGTAGATGTAATCAGTTTTATCATCTTTTGAGATGAAAATGCGTGATTTTTTTGTGAAAAATTCGCAGATCCCGTCGTTATTTTACTTAATTGTCCCAAGATTAAGGGCAGTTTAAATTGCACCCTGCGACCGACGGGTTTCCCGATGCTCTAGCACCCTTGTCCGTGAAGCGAAGTAAAGTAACTTATTAGCGTCCCTCTGTAATGTTGGTCTAAGGGCAGTAAAATAGTTTACCTTGGAATCCAGTCTCCAGAGTTTGCCTCTCCATTAATGAATTTAATATCATGAGGACACTGCGCATCACAATAACCAGTTCCATAAGCGGCTCCTCCCTTTAAGAGATGGAAGCGTTTGGTTTTTTTTTAATTTGTGTATTCATCGTTTGTTAACAACACATTTCTTTACAAAAAAAAAGTTTGTTCATTTGTTTTCAGAATCATTGTTTATTTTCCATCTATATTGTTAGTTTTCCAACTGTATGATTGTTCTATTAAATAATTAGTTCAGTGAAATCGTTTGTCCAGTTAAATTGTTTGTTTAGTGGAATCGTTCATTCATGTTTTTATTCACTTTTTAAAAAGATATTTTCTCTAAATGATCAAAACGATTCGACGTTCGTCCATGATTTGTCAATTTTCGTGCACAAAAAAAATCGTTTGTTTTGAAAAATGTCGCCTTTTTTACAAAATTAATGCTCATCTCTATTCCCTTGTTCGTTGGATGCTTAGATGCACCTCCATCCTTGTCCATTTCAACCAGATAAACAGCACCGTTCAGTCCACATGGCAGCATACTCACATCAACATCCATAGTCAGCTCTTTATTCTTTAGCTTGAACATGTAGTATTCGTTTTCACTAGGATCCAATAGATACATTCGAGATCCAATATTTGTTGAGTAAGGTCCATTAGTGACAAATTGTATACTGACTTCTTTACCAGTAGATGACACCCCATAGGTTCCAGCCCAATCAACATTATCAATTCCATCTAAATACATTTTTTATATTTTAGAGTTTTAATATTTAATATGTATTCTCCAACATCCACATGTAGAAAAAAATTCAGCTTACCAATGCAACAGTTTTGAGTGCAAGTTTGAGGGTCAGGACATACAGAATCATCCCAAAGGTTTCCTTAAAAAATCATTTTAACTCAAAGATGTTATTCTAAAAGTATATTCTTATGCTAAACCTAAAACTGATCCCAAACAGTCTAGAAAAGCCAATTTTAATTGATTTGCCTCGATACCTGTATAGCAATTTGAAGACTGCCCAACTTTATGGACCCATCTCCAGTTTTGGTCCATTGTCACTTTAGTTTTAACTGAAAACAAGGGGGTCAATGCCAATTATGTTGTGTAAATGTGCAATGTACATGTCTTCTAGTGTATATGTTATTCAGATTTCACGTAAGGTTTTACCTGGAGTGCAAGACATTGATCCGGTACATTCCTGGATCTCTAGAGGCAGGGGTTCATTTTTCTTTAGATCTCCAACCAGCTGAGATACAGTAACCCCTACCAGGGTCAGAAGTAGCAACACCTTCATTTCTAATTTAACAAAAATATTACGCTTGCAACTGTTGGGAATAAGCTCACAATGCATCCATTTTAAAATAATAACAATCTTAGAATTCGCAGACATTTCTATAGCCTATAGTGTATTTTTTTGTTTTCAAACAGCAAGTCTAACCGTTATAAACAACAAAGTCACAAAGTTTTAGTGAGATTTTATTTTTGGTCTACAAATACTACATGTATACTGAAAATGCCAGGTCAGCAGAAGCTGAACTTGATACTGAACCTGAACCAGGAACTTACCCTTCACTAAACATAATCCTGAGTTTATCCCTTGTTCCTCCCCTGAATCTAAACCAAACCTTGAACCTAAGATTGATCATGAACCTGAACCTGACCGGTCTAAATCTGAACCTCAGAAATTTTTAGATGGTTTGATAAAAGAAGCCAGTAAAAATCCTCAAGAATTTATTGCTCAAATCTTTAAAAATATGTAAACCTAAATCCCATCAGAATTTTTAAAAATCTCAACCATTAATCGAACCCAAACTGAAAAGGTTTTGGGATTAGTGATGAATGCGGAACCTTTATCATAAATAGTTAAATTTGAAAAAAAACCTTTTGAAAATAATTTTTTTATCTAAATCTAGACTAATAGTAATTATTTGTTTTAAAATCATCTTTGAAATATTACAATATTTCTCTACCTCTAATAGTGAAATAGTGTGTATGTATACTAATGTTTTCTTCTCTTAAATAGCAGGAAAAGAAGATAAGAGCACTTACACCTTTTAGAAAAATAAATAAACATTTTTACGTTTACATTTTATAATCTCTGTTCTGTTTATATTTACATTTTATAAAAAACGACATTTTTTTCTGTAATTAAAAATTTCAACACTAGAAAAATCCTGTGAAAATGAAATGAACGGATAAGATTAATTTCTCTAATTTTATCATCTCCTGCAAATCTATTGATGCGCATTATTTATGTAGAATATAAATATTAATCTAAGATAAGATATGTTAGTTTGTTGACACAATAAATGACGTGTTATGTATCTGGGAATAATTATGGCTGAGTTAATAAATAGATGATATAACACAAAAAGCAAAGTATAAAAGAAATTTTTAACTATTTAATATTTTAGAATACAAAATACAAAAAAGGAAACTATAACATTAACTTATAATGAACCTTTATTCTAGTTCCACTCAAATTTTAGAATCCGTATATCTTTGCAACCTGATGGTGTAAACCTTTGATAGTTCAAACTTAGACTATTTGATTTAAGAGAATTCATAGTTTGAAATACGAGTTTCTTTTAGTGGAATTCCTGCACAACTTTGCTACCTCGTAACTTCAATAGTTTTGATTTTATGTCAAAGAGGCCCAGATTTTGTGAGCCAAATTGTAACCTGCATAGCTCTTCAGAAAAGCTAAAAGTTTTGTTTGAAAACATGCAAAATATCCATCTAAGCTAAATTTTCCCTGACAGGTTATTTTTAAATCGACAAAAAGCGAGGCATTATCATTTGGGAATTTATGTTTTTTTTGTGATTTTTACTATTTTGTTTGTTTTCGGGTTAAATTCAAGATTTTTTATCACTTACTACCTTATGGATTAAAAATCTTGAATTTAAACCTTTAACAAACAAAACAGTAAAAATCCTGCCAAACACATATTGTCCCGCATTATAACACAACACAGTTGCATAAGTAATAAAATGTCGTTTTCTAAACCTATTTATTCTTGCAATTACTGAGATTAGGTATAATAGAATAACATATATATTTGCATAGGAGACGAACAACAGAGGACTCAGGAACAACCTGCTCCAGATAGATCCGACAACAGCTTACACTGTACCAACACCTTCAGCAACGGCTACAGGAATAGAGATGAAGAGTTTTACACGATCAGATCAATGAACAAGAATCCTTGGACTTAAAAATCGAGATTAATCTCATGACTCAATATTGGGGTTTAAAGTTGGGTTGTTGGGTTGTGTAAATTTAGAAATTAGTCTGAACTCGATCCTTAAACTTTAGTCTCAATCGCTAATTATTTGTGTTGATTTTATAAAACTGTTTAAACGCGATCTAACTAATCCCTAAATCCCAATTAGGGGTTTTGAGCATATTTGCACGCGACTCCGAGCAAAGGAATTAAGTCTTTGACACAATCCCTAGCTTTAGAACCTAAAGTCTTAGACCTAATTATTTCAAAGTTTGAAGTATAAAAAGTTCATACCATCATGATGTACAAAGATAAAAACATTGGAAAATTTGAGTTTGTCACAAAGACTTATTTCCTTTACTCGAATGTGGGCAAAAACTCAGTGTGTCCACAACTTATTTTTTTAAAATTATTAAAACATTTCAGGTCTTAGTTGAGCGCAAATTAAAAGACGTATAATGTTACAGAATAAAAACATTTCTAAATTATTGATGTGTGATTTAAGAAGGAATATTTACAACTCAAAAATTCAAGTCTTGTTCCATCTTTTTAATGTTGTAAAGATTGTAAGGAAAAAAGTGTTAAATGGACACAATTAAATCGTATTTATGATGGAATTTGCAGTGTTTTATATAAATGTAAAAAAGAAGTTTTCCCTCCCCGTTAACTAGCCCATCCTTAACCCCACACCCCCGTACACGGAGAGAATCGCAGAATCCCTAAATCTTAATTCACATGATCTCAATGTCAGTGTGTTGTGAAAATACTACCTGGATCGAATTTTATGAATTTTATCTACGTCACTGCAAACTATCTGCACTGAGTTACTGACGCTTCAAATTTCAACACCACCGATTTAAAGAAAAAGATTAAGGAAGAATTTGAAAAGTTAAACTTCATTAAATTCGGTCCCGGAATTCTTACATCTTTGTTTACAAACATGTATACGGCATTTCTGTGAGGAATAATACGCTATTTAGGCTTAGTTTGTTTACAATCATGCCGGAACCTGCAGTACACCTCTGTTGTAAGCAAAGACATGTTGGTTTCTGTTATAACTTCCTTGATACGTTGGTTACCCATAAAGGATGAGACTTCAGAGAAGATTCTAAAGAATTTATACTGTCTGTTTCCTTACATTAATGATTCCATGTTACTTGATTGTCTTTTCGCCTTGGAATCGTCAAATGTAAAGAGTTGCAAGTCGTCTTTACAGTCTCGTCCTTTCGGGTTACCCTGTATGTTCTTGTTTCACTGTTATTGTGTATGTACAGTAATATAAATGTATTTTCTAATTCTGTGTATAAAGTTTGCCTGTAAACTGTGTGCATTTTAGTTTTTTATAAAGCAAAAATGTTGTCCAGAAGCTAAAATTCATTATATAAAGGAGAATGGGTCTGTGTACATTGTAAAATTGCTGTGTTTCTTATTTTTTGCATGACTTAAGTCTAACAGTTGTCTTTCTATTTCAAAGTTGTATAGGTCCTATTGTACCAGATTTCTGAGGGGAACAAACGTTTTAAAAGCGAATTTCATACCTGCAGCCTTTCATAAATGTTAAAAAGATTAAGATTTGATTATTCACAAACAAGATTAAGGTTAAATTATTTACAAACAAGATTAAGATTGGATTAAGCATAATCAAGATTAAGATTAAAGTATTCACAAACAAGATTAAGATTGGATTAAGCATAATCAAGATTAAGATTAAAGTATTCACAAACAAGATTAAGATTGGATTAAGCATAATCAAGATTAAGATTAAAGTATTCACAAACGAGATTAAGATTAAAGTATCCAAAATAAGATTAAGATAAGGTAAAAATGAAAGAAGGATTTGTCAATCTAAACATGAGTCTGTTTTTATAAAAAAAATAAGGAATGAACTGATGATATCTTATTTCTATTTAATATGTCTTTAAAAGAATTTAGTTAAATATCTGTCCCATGTGAACCTTATGAACTCTCCCAAAAAAAATGTCAGATTCATTAACAATTAAATACGTAATAGTTCGTGTCGTAAAAATGAAAAAAAATGAAAGTATAGTGTGTAAAACAACTTAATTTTCGAGGGCATTTCTAATTTGTAGATATGTGACTAAATTATTTGTTAATTATGGAAATTGTCTTGCAGAAAATTCTCACAATTTCTTAAAAGTTTAAAATAGAACACTGAGAAAAGTTATCTACTTTCTAATAAGTTAGAAAATGCTTAAATATTTTTTATTTGATGAAAAGACTCTGGAAAAAGGCGCTCACCCCTTTTTTCTACGTTATTTTTATTCAAAGTAAAAAGTACATAGTCAAATATTGGAGCTAACGATGATATAAAATATTCTATATTGTGTTTTGACAAAAATAAATATTGTTCTTTTCGTGATTATTCAAAAATCTTTTCTAACTCGAATTTATTTGGAATATTTTAAATGTCGAATTCTGCACAAAATTATTATTTCATCTGTGAATTCTAAAGTAGTAAAAAACAGTACACTTTGCAGAAAATGTATTTATGAATATTAAACATAAATGTAGATTACACTGAATATTATTAACAAATGTTTTTAAATTAAAACTTAAACTTGTGAGCCCAATTTCTCTCCTTTATTCGAAAAAATGACATGAACCCATAAATGTTAGATTTTAAATTCCATTGAATTAAAGACCAATCAGTATCAAATATTATAAAAGAAAATGATTTTTTGTATAATTGTATATTGTGAACTATTTGTATCGTTAGTTTCAATAAACGTTTAAAGTTATTTACATTTCTTAAAGCTTGAATATGTTGAAACAAACATATTAGGAATACATTTGTATTCTTCTTTTTAGCTCTTCAATATGAGATATTATAATTATAAATGTTTAAGGTTTCAATCTTACGTGAAATTTACTTTATTTAGACATGGTGCCATAGCCATTTAAAAAATATTGTTTAATATTATGTTTTAAAGGCCTGTCTGCTTTTGCCAATAACTCTTATTTTCTAATCACTATTGTTGACCTTTAATCTCGACATTCTAAAGCTAACTGACGCTGGATGAAGTGGGAGCTAGGCTGAGCGGGGATTTGACATGTGGGGCGTGCTTGCTTCATTTCGTGGTTCCTGTGTACACACGCATTTAGAGAATTAACAGAGGCATTTTGGGCCGGTAAAATCGTCTTCCTTATATTTTCGAATTTATGTTAACAACTATATATATTTGCAGCCTAGTGGTGTAAATCTTTGATATTTCAAAAACTCAGACTAGTTGATCTAAAAGAATATCGTAGGTCTACAATGTCGGGTTGCAAGGACTTAAGGATTATAAAATCAGAGTTTGTTGCAAAACCCATTTTCTTTCAGAATTTTCAGATTAAACTTATCTTTAACTTTTGCAAATGTTAGGTTTTAATTGCAATTTCGCATCAAACATTTTTCTTTACCTTTCTTTGTAGTTGTGCAAAATATTTTGCAAGTATTTAACTTCTCAGAATTTGGCAAATTACACATTTTTCGAAAATTTTTAGCAAATAGCAAATTAAATTTTATTTCAAAATTAGACTTTTGATGTAAAGATTCAAGGCAAATCAATAATTTAGAGGCTATTATCATATACAACTAGCTATAGGAAATCCTTATTAATATGATGATATGGTGTTTAATCATATTAATCATCACAATGAAGGAAGACTAATCATCATATGGTATTTAAACACAGACTAACCAGACCGAACATATGCTCGGCCTGGATAGGCTAAGCAGGCGCACGCCATGCTACAGTTTCATGAAAGTTTTTTTGACTGACATTTAAAGGCCACTTGCTGCATACATTATCCATTCACGGGTTAATTTTTTCAAATTTTAAAGAAATACGCCCATTTTTAACATGAAAAATAACATTTCTTCTATTTAGTCTATTTTTGAAGATTTTGTAGTTCGTATCCTAAGGATCCTTAAATATCACAGAATTCAGATGTTTGCCGTCTGGTGACTGGGCGTTAACAGTACTTGTACACGATAGAACCTTCTGTGAAAAAAATCGCATATTATTATGGGTTTCAATTGATCTCTCTTATCTCTGTATCTAAATAACATAATGAGCGTCTTTAATCTTTAAAAGTTAAAGGAAGTACTTGTGAAAAATTTAAGGGAGTTCAGACCAATTCAATATCGATTGATTTCGACATGTTTTGTCATTTAAAGAATCAAAATAATCATAATCCTCAATCATTCTTAATTTATGATGAAAATATTGAAAACTAGGTTGTCTAATGTCTATATCTCAAATAACAACTTGACCAATTTACCTTAAAATTTTATTAGGGAACTAGACTGAACCTAGGAATTTTTCTAAGCCTGGTTTAAACATCCTAAGTTGAATGTTTGACTTTTATAGAGAAAACTCCAGGCAAAGCTGGGTTCAGAAGCTAGTATCCAATATTTCACGAAAAGAAATTGAGTTTTTGCCACAAACTCTGATTTTCTACCCATTGCCGTTAAAGACCTCAGATGTTATGAATGAAGTATGAATGCCAAAAGATCAAGTAATCTAAGATTGAAATATCTAAGGTTTAAACCATCAGAGTCCAAAGTTATGGGGATTCGAAAATTAGAGTTTATGGCAAAGATTAAATTCCTTTGTCGAAACTAAACATTAGCTTTAAAAGTCATCTAACTTAATCTATAATTAACCAAGCTAAGAACATTTCTGTGGTTCAACCGAGTTCACAGATCAAAATTTGAGGCAAATTGGTCAATGGGTTCAGAAGTTATAATATGACATACAAACAGACAGACAAACAGCTATTACTACTTTATAAGTAGACTAGGTTTAGGAACCCAGCTTTCCTTGAAAACTCAACTTTCGCTACAAATTTAGAATTTTCAAACCAAGCCTAGAACATTCCAATGGTTCAAGGCAAATCGGTTAAGGGATGTAAGAGTTATGATCGGACACAGACAAACACCCAAATATAAAGATCACTATTTTATATTTATAAAAAATATATATCCCCTGACACTGTGGTTAAATCGATATTCTCCTCCAATGATTAATGAAAAAATACAAAAAAAAACTATTTATATTTAGATTCCTTTGTCCATATAATAAATATATGGCAGGATATTTATTTTACATTCATTTTTCTAAAAAAGAATGGTCTAGAGTGATTGATATACGGATATATTGATATGTAAATAGATCACATAGATCCGACTTCTATGAAAATCATTTAAAAACTAAATCAACTCGAAGTTTAGCAACTCACAACACCTTTGCCTTACTAACTCTTACAAACTCTTACTAATTCTTACTAACTCTTACTAACTCTTACTAACTCTTATTAACTCTTATTAACTCTTACTAACTCTTACTAACTCTGACTAACTCTTACTAACTCTTACTAACTCTTACTAACTCTTACTAACTCTTACAAACTCTTATTAACTCTTACTAACTCTTACTAACTCGTATTAACTCTTACTAACTCTTACTAATTCTTATTAACTCTTACTAACTCTTACTAACTCTTACTAACTCTTACTAACTCTTACTAACTCTTATTAACTCTTATTAACTCTTACTAACTCTTACTAACTCTTACTAACTCTTACTAAATCTTATTAACTCTTATTAACTCTTATTAACTCTTACTAAATCTTATTAACTCTTACTAACTCTTACTAATTCTTATTAACTCTTACTAACTCTTACTAACTCTTACTAACTCTTATTAACTCTTACTAACTCTTACTAACTCTTACCAACTCTTATTAACTCTTACTAACTTCTTTTTTGATACTTTTCCATTTGGTTCTCGATGCTTTTAAGGAAAAAGTATGAAAATGTGACAATAAAGTATATCGTATGAAAGATTGAAACTCTTATATATGAAAGATAAAATGTTTTCTTTTTCATTTCTAACATATAACTAAATAAATTTGCTCTTCTCTCACGAGGTCACAAAGTTGCTACAGTAATATCGCATCAAATTTCTTTTTTCTTCTCTCCAGTTTGCAGTGACAAAAAATTATACATCTCGTTGATTTGATCTATATTTTTGTATAAAATTTACAATTAAAAGAATAAAAAGTTTGTTTAAATACTTAAAAGTGTGAATTGACATGCAGTATTTCTTGATTTGTTGACAAAACAGGATTATTTTTGATTGATTTTTATTTTCCAAGCAAAAGTTTAGAAAATACTTGAAAATGATTATCGGTCTTTTTTTATTGACAAATTTTTTTAAAATAAACCAGAATTCAAACTAAAAATAATGCAGTTTATTGATTGTATCCCAACATTAGCATTAGAGTTTTCATGGTTTTCTGTTTGTTTACATCTAGACTCTAGAGTAGAACCAGAGTGTTTACATCTAGACTCTAGAGTAGAACCAGAGTGGGCAGGATTTACACTCAGATACAGTCCAGTATCCGGTATTTGTCACAGCAATAGATTCCCTTTGCTCCTCCTCCTAGAAAACAGAAGTTAGAAAACTATGGAAGAAATGTCGTCTTTGTTATTTCTTTTGTGTTGTGAATCTGTGGATCAAGCATTGCATATGCAGATCTACGGATCGATTTAATTCCTCTTCGATACACGAGATGGTCATACCCTGCAGGAATAACTTGAATTACGGTGATAAAACATTAATCCTCAAATTTAAAAGTACCCACAATGGATATCGAACTCAACTCAACCATTCGACCTATATAACACATTCATTCGACCTATAACACTTTACAGTCTAAATTTCTTTTTAAATCTAAATATTTATTTTGTAGCAAAGATTAAAATATTACAATTGTATTGCAAGTTTACAACTTTCATAAATGGAAAAACTACATTATTTATTTTCTATATAAATGATTCATATGATAGACACAGATTAGACTTTGAATGCCAGTGCAATATTTCGCAGCTGACTCCCTCGTCATCCATTGCTGAGAAACAACAGAACCTTCTATAGTTATTAACCAACTGATATTTTATTTGGTTCTCTACTTTTTCATATACTCTAATTGTCTTGTGCCTAACTGGACAAAATGTACATTCTTTTTCTTCACGGAAAGTAAAAACTGGGTTTGCAATGTTCACAGGTGGTTTTAGTTCGATTTCAAGTTCAGTTTCAGATTCTTGACCAGCTTCAGTCTCATGTTCAGGTTCAGGCGCAGACTCAGTCTCAGGTTCAGGTTCAGACGCAGACTCAGGATCAGGTTCATGTTTAGGTGCAGACTCAGGCTTAGATTCCTCAGTATCCTCAAGCTCTTTTCATCTTCGCTTTTCTATCTTCTAGTAGAGGAGTTCTAGCTTCTTTCAGGGGTTTCCTCACATTCTTCCATGGGCGCCTGATTTCCTGCAATGGGGACTTTGACTCATCCCGCAAGGGTTGTCTAGCTTCCTCCGTGGGGGACCGCACTTCCTTCAGAGGGGACCGCACTTCCTTCAGAGGGGACCGCACTTCCTTCAGGGGGGACCGCACTTCCTTCAGGGGAGACTGTACGGGTCTGTCCGACTACAATTCCTTCTGGGGTATAGTCTCACTTCCTTCAGGGTTGACATCACACCTCTGTTTCTTCTCCTTCTCCTGTAGATGGGTCGAGAAACTCGAGAAAATGAGAAAAATTCTTCTCCATCTTTAGTCCACAGGTTAAGCTTGATATCCAATACTAGATCCACTCCTTCCCTATACAACTCTAAGAGTTTATGTGTAATTCTCATTGCTTGTGTTTTAAACTCCCCGCCATAGCAACAGCTGGGTGAGCTGGTATCAGGCTAGGAGAGAGAGAGTGTCACGATGTGTTGTCGATAGCAGTGTTAGGGGGAGACTGAACTTACAGTCTAAATTTCGACATACAAAAAAAGGAATTTTTTGAAATTAGGCTATTTTTGTTAAAAAATAAAGTTTTTTTTGGTGAGTATGAGCGAGAATTTGTCGCTAATATGGCAGCCATCCAACTTTTACTACCAAAGTTTGATTTCAAAATTTTAAACTGCATAGTGCATACAGCTCAAAATTTATGCATAAGCTTTTTAAACCGAGCCGACTTTGAAGTGAATTGTATACCCTTTGTTTGACAATACCAAATTACGCATACCTTTTTAAAGCCTTGGACAAGTTTATTTCAACTTTGCAAAGTTTAGTTTCTGTAGCTTTGAAGGATTATTTTCGACAAAATTCTGATCAATCTTTAATATTTTAGTTTACAGCGCAGTTTGCCGATTTGAACGAAGAAAATTTTACTTCTACGGAAAACTGAAATAAGTTTTAAACAATTTGCATTACAGGGTTCCTAAACTGGTAAGTGGTGATATAGCTACATGGGAGATTATGTAGATTTGATCAAATCTCATGTCATTAAATCTCATTAAGTTAGTTTCATATTTATATGCTAGTGAATGCATGTTAAACAAAAGTAAATAATGATCTGATCGAATATCATAAAATGTTGATCAAATCTGAAAAGGAATACGAACTGACTAACGAAATGCTAGGATCTAGAACAGACTTGTGATAATAATGAAAAAAAATACGACAGAATCTTTTTTTCACTGAAAAAGACTTCATAAAGGTGTTTAATGTGTGTTGATCTAAACAGTGTTGGGGATGTGTACGTAAAGAAGAAACCCTGCAGAGCTTAATTTTAATATTATTCTGTATTTCTTTGTTTTAAATCGCTAAATAATCTTGCATCGTGTTGGTTTTCTTATAAGCATTTCACCTCCAATACTAAAGTGCAGGCTCCAGGATTAGTTTGAAGAAATTGGCTCCAAGAAATATTTGCAGGTCGCTCCCAAGCAAATGCGTCTTGTTTATTAGTTAGAGCTAGAATTCTACCAGAGGGTGATATATCTCCACCTTAAATATAAAACCTAATTTAAACATATTCTGTGCAACCTTTCATATTTTAAGCTGTGATTTTTTCATAGTTCAAGTTTGAAATATCAAATATTTACACCATAAGGTTGCAAAGATATAAGGATTAGAAGGAGTTTGTGACGATTTCTTAGTTCCCCATTAGTTTATTCTAAATTTATTCAGGGTCACCTATACATAGGAGAGACGATTGAATACCTTTTTTATATGCATGGTTCTCTGAAAGTGTACACTTACCATGCAGATTTATTTAGGATAATCAGATAATGAAAATAACAGAATTATTTCTCCTATAGAGTTTTAGTTGTATGATTATTTTCAGCTGTGGTCTATAAAATCAAAGTTTCAACTATGAAAGTACAATTTTATATTATCGTCGTTGAAATTTTACCTCGGTTCTCGAATTTTTATTTAAAAGGTCTATCCACTAAAACTACCACAATTACACATTATTTGCTATTTCAATCTAACTCTATGTCAAGAATCGTTTCAAAGGGATCAAGAAATATTTCAAATTAACTAATTCCAATTGCTTCACAGTTTTGTTTATATTCGAAATTTATATTTTCCGGTCCAGTGGAATTTTACGCAGTAATTCAGAATGGGACCGAGTTTAATTTGATCATATGCTGGTTAGATAAGATAGATAAGATAATTTATTGCTAAAATACATGTATCTGTGTACAGAACGAGTTTACAATTACAAATTGATGATTATATTAACAGTACAAGTATAAAGCAACTAGGTTTTTAGGGCGCTTCGCGCCCATCTTCTATTTAAATTTTGAACATGTTCTTTTTGTTTACATTTTAAAACAAAGAAGAAAATTTTTTTGCGGATTTAAAAAAAAAATTGGGCCCGATCGGTTCAGCCGTTTTGACGTTTATTGGATACAAACAAACAAACAGACACCCAAACAGACAGACAAGTCAAATTTATAAATAGATTAGGTGGAAAATAGCTCTTGGCTGTTTTGATTATTTTTTCCACCTAATTTCAATAATGATAACAACACATTTCAATTAAATAGATTTAAGGAGAACTAGTTGAGATCAGGGTGCGATTTTATCTTCATACGTGTAAATATGTGAACTAGAAAACTGGTCGAAACAACGAAGTCAAAACCGCTTCCGGGGCAGTGTGTCGCATGTGTCAAATGTCTCATTTATCAAATGTGTTCCAAATTATTTAACTTCCAAAACATACCAAATTTTAGAAAATGAATAAATTTTCATTCTATACATGAAGAATATATCATAATTTTGAAAAAATATTTGTTTTACGGGAAAGTTTTTTTCATGTCATATGTCATATGTCGCATGTGTCAAATGTAGCATCTGTCAAACGTCTCATTAATTAAAATGTTGCAAATTTTATAAGTCTCATCTATCAAATATCCAAGTAATTATAAAATTCACAATATAAATCCGAAATTATTTTTAAGTCAAAGGAATTGAGTTTTTGCCACAAACTCGCATTTTCTAACTCCTATATTTTTGCAACCTGATGATGTAAACCTTTGATATTTCAAACTTAGACTATTTGATCTAACAGAATTAATAGTTTGAAATATCAAAGGTCTAGGAAAACGGGTTGCAAAGTTATAGGAATTAGAAAATCAGAGTTTGTGGCTAAAACTCAATTCCTTTGCATTCCAAACATAAAGAAACCCATAATTTTGGGGATTTTTTTGCGAGAATATTTATTTTTCAATTTAATATATTTGGGTGTTTTACGTCAATTTTTTTCACCTTGAATTTATCTATCGAATTTGATCAATATCTTTTTATTTATGAGGGTAACTTCTTATTTGACATTTGACAAGTAAAACAATTGACAAATGCGGCATATATGACAAATTTAAATATAAATTTGTGAATAAAAAATTGGATCAAATGTCAAATATCGCATCTATTAACTTCCAAAAAATGAAGAAAAAAAAATTATATTATATTTAAAAATGAAGAAAATCATAATTTAAAAAAACAAATTGGATGGGAATGTTTTAATGTCATATGTCGCATGTGTCATAGTCGCATATGTCAAATTTTATATATATTAATAGAAATTCAAGGCGCTTCGCGCCCTTCTTTCTAGCCTTAGAGGGCGCTTCGCGCCCATCTTCTAAATTAGTTGTGAACATGTTCTCTTTGTGTACATCGTAAAACAAAACAAAAATAATTCGCGGATTTTCACAAAAAATTTCGCGGATTTTCAAAATTTTTAAAAATTTAATGACGATCGAATTTTGATGGAGACAAATATTTGAAATTTTGATTTTTCATAAACCTTCCCTGGGGTCCCTAGATGTCCCACAAAAAAATTGGGCCCGATCGGTTCAGCCGTTTCGACGTTTATTGGATACAAACAGACAAACAAACAAACAAACAGACAGACAAGCCAAATTTATATATATTAATTGTTTAACTTGTCAAATGTCTCATCAATAAAAATGTTGCAAGCATCATAATATGAAATTTATAATAAAAATCCGATTTTTTTTCATTTTATTAAATTTGCATTCCAGACGTAAAGAAACCAAAAAAAAATATTTTCCGGAATTTTTTTTCAATTTAATAAATGAAGGTGTTTTATGTCAAGTTTTTTACTGAAATTAAGATTTGATCTGCTACTGAATTATTGACAAATAAGAAGTTTTCCTTGTGAATAAGAAATGTAATCAAATATCAAATGTCGTATATTTCAAATGTGGCATCTATCAAATGTCTTACAGATTATTAAAAAGAAAACTTCTATTTTTTACATATCATATGTCTATGCATTCCATACATAAAGAAAATATAATTTTGTAGAACATTTTTTAATGGATATTTTTTTCATGTCATTATGTCATTAATGAATGACAAATAAAAGTTTTCGTTGTCATTTAAAAAATAACAAATGTCAAATAACAATTTTGGCATTTATCAAATGTCTTACAAATTATTAAACTTCCAAAAATTTCCGAATTTTCTAAAATTAATTTTTCATTCCATACATAAAATATCATAATTTTGGATAATTTTTTTTATTTCACATGTCATATTTCTCATGCGTTATATGTCACATCTGTCAATTGTCGTATCTGTTAGTTGTTTACTTGTCAAATGGTAAATAATAAGTGTTCCTTGTGAATAAAAAATTCGATCAAATGTCTTCACATTAATGAGCCGATAAAAGGTTCAAGGGAACCGTCGTCAATCGGCCGGAAGGACCACTTAAAATTACGCTTACAATCCCTTAAAGCTGATCATCTGATTGTTACCTGTAATCCAGTAACTAGGTAAAGTAACTACATGCTCCAGAATAAACACATCTGAACTGCTTTGGGGGAATGGAAACCTAAAAAGCATCTGTTAATAAATTTTAAAAAAACATTTATTCTTTATTTATTGATTATTTTAAATAAGGAACCCCTAAAATGAATATTTCAAGGAATTGTTGCCGTAATTTAAATTGACCCTTTAATTTAAAGAGGATCATGTCCGAGATTCACAACGTACCCTTGAACACTAATCTGATCAATAATATGGAAGATAACGTAATATATCTGGCATGATAATGTCTCCATTGTTTCGAAAGCAGGAAATGCGTAAGTCACTCTGGTAGAGAAAAATACAACTGAAAATCAATTTTCAAAATTATAAACATACTTGGTCAGACAAAGCTTCTAAGGGAATATTTGTGAATCTTACATGCCACTCTATCAATGGAGGTTCACTTAAAATTACGTTTACAGTTCCTTTAAGGGGCTTACTTGTAAACTTCCGAGATAGCGTGAACTCGGTCCTTGGTGAATAGAAATATGTCTCCGTTGGACGGATCAACAGCCAGGGCCTAGGGTTTAAATAGATGTGATTAAAATTAATCTTTTCATTCAGTGGTTAGTGTTTATATCAATACAATGAAGGCAACTTTTTTATCTAAGTTTTTATTTCAAACAAGCTTTTTTCAATTTACAAGTTTACAGATTTCTTTAACTCAAATCTCAACATAATATCTATTTAAGATGTATGACTCATCATTCTTTCAAAAAAGGCAGTTTTCGTTATAATGCAAAGCTTTGCAATAGCTCCAAAGAGAAAGAAAAAAACATTGCAAAACTGCACACAAAATATCTATCTAAATTGCTTTTGACAACAGGAAGCATATTGTATAAATCTTTCAGGGAAGTTTTGCATTTTTTGCTATTTGATTGGATTTTGAAAAAAAAAAATTTGATATTTACAAATCTGAAATTTTTTCTTTCCTGGTAGCGCGATATCTGAGTAACAATGAGGGAAATCTGACAATTAGGGAAAAAGCCCTGACAAGGATTTTTTCACTCCTTCCCCCTGATATCCTCATATTCCTACTTTGATACATTTTTTTCATACGTTTTCTGCAAATAGTTTGTTCTAAATCGTTCATTTATATAATTAATTTTTTATATGATAGTTTTTTAAAATCGTATTTTCAATTTTACTTTACTTGAAATATTTTCATTTCTCCCCAGCATAATTTTTACTTGAACATCGATTATTATTTATAATTCCCCAAATCATGTTTTATTTTCTAAATTAATGTTAAAATTATTTAAAAATTAATAAAAATCGGCGATAACTTGAATTTTATTAGACATTTTTCAGAAATTTTTGGGTCAGTGTGTTCAGATTTGATTGTAAAATCGGATTCTGACCCCTAAACCATTAAAGAAGTCATGGCAAAGAAAATCTTTAAGTTATCCAAGGTCGACCTTTTGGGTCGATTTAGAACACGGTGATATGCGACATTTGACAAGTAAAACAATTAACAGATACGACATTTGACGATGCGACATACAACATATTACATAAAAAACATTATCATACATTTTTTTCTTTTAAAATAAGTAATATCTTGGAAATTTGACAGATGCGACATGACACCAGGCTAAATTTGACATTATGAATTTCTTTATGGATTAAAGGCAAAGTTTATTTTTTTTAAATCAAAAGTTTTTGGAAGTTAAATAATTTGTATGACATTAGATAGATGCGACATTTGACATATCACATATGCGACATTTGATCGAATTTTTTTATTCAAAAGGAAAACATCTTATTTGACATTTGACAAATGATACAATTAACAGATACAACATTTGACAGATGCGAAGTACACATATATGACATAAAAGGCATTCCCTTAAAAAAAGTTCCCAAAAATTATGATTTTCTTTATGTATGGAATGATATATGACAAACAACATTCTCGTATACAAAATTTCTGTTTAAAAATTTGTAAGACATTTAATTGATGCCATAATGACATATGCGACATGTTTTATTCACAAGGAAACTTTTTTTTTGCCATTTATTCAGTGGAAAATCGTATCTTCATTAAGTGAAAACTTGACATAAAACATCTTCAAAAATTTAATTGAAAAATAAAAACTCCCAAATAAAAAATGTCTACAAAAATATCGTCTTCTTCATGTACAGAATGCAAATTTAATTAAAAAAATAATTTTAATTTTTTTAGATTTCATAATTTCTTAGACATTTGACAAATGCGACTAATGACATTTGCGACCATCTTATTGATAAGACATTTGACAAGTAAAACAGTTAACAGATACGACATTTGATTGATGAAACATTATAGTGACATAAAAAACCATTCCCATGAAAATAATTCTCAAAAATTATGATTTTCTTTATATGTGTGGAATGCATAGACATATTTATGATGATATATGAAATAACAAATATTCCCGTAAAAAATCTTATCTTTTTAATTTGTAAGACATCTGACATTTCATTAACCTTTTTACTCACAAGGAAAACTTCTTGTTTCTCATTATTTCAGTAGAAAATCGTTGACATGAATTATCCTTCATATATTAAATTGAAAAATAAAAATTCCTGCAAAAAATGAGACATTTGATGAGTAAAACAATTAACAGGTATGAAATTTGAAAGATGCGACATATGACATATATGACTTAAAAACATTCCTGTAATTTTTTTTTCAAAATTATGATTTTCTTCATTACAGAATGCAAATTAAATTTTTTAATTCGGCCTTTTGGATCTTAAATAATTTGTAAGACGATAGATGCAACATTTGACATTTGATCAATTTTTTTATTCACAAGGAAAACTCCTTATTTGACATTTGACAAGTAAAACAAGTATAGATACGACATTTGACATATGTGATATATGAAAAATTACATTAGAAAAATATTCTCAAAAAAATCCAAAATAACAATTTTCTTCTTGCATGGAATTCAAATTTCATAATTTCTTGGAAATTTGACAGAGCTTGGCTTTAATTACTTGTAAACTTGTAATTCGAAAAAAGCTGGTTAATACTTAAAACTTAAATAATAAAGTCGTCTTCATTATATTGATAGAATCGCCTACCACCATAGTTAGTTTTGATTTCATTTTTATTTTACCTCGCAGTCATGACTAAAGCCAGGGTAAGCTGCACGATATACATCAATATCGTCTTTGTTTATCAAGATTTTTTTCTTATTATTCATTTCCACGAGAGGTTCAGCAAATATTTGTTGGTAAGTTTTTCCTGGATTAATATTGATGTAGAAAAACATCGAAATATATTTCCTACTTTGAAGTTGTGCATTTTACAGATATACGTCTACACTTTTAACAAATTAACATCTCAATAAATAATAATATTGCTAATTAACGAGCAAAGTTTCCATCGTATTTTTAAAAATTCAGTGTTCTAAAATTAGGTAAAAATAAAAAAATAATTCTAAATGTTACCTCAGAACTGATATAGATGTTCTATTAAAATCATTGTTTCCAGTATCCGACACATAAATATAACTCCTAGCAAAAATATTATTCCACTTTTTACAAAAAAGCAAGTATTCAAAATAAGTAATAACTGTCCGTAGGTATTGGAATGAGTTTAGTCTTTTATTGACACTAACTTTTATACCATCAACGGTTTTAATTTTTAATATCTTTAAACTTGATGTTAGATCACTAGAAAATCCAGGGTGCTTATTCAATTAATAGCAAGACTAAATTGTTCAACTTAGTCTAAGCAGTTCAACTATTAATTAATTAATAAATTAAATCTGGTTCAGAATTAGTCTACAAATTTTAACCCTTTATCTATAATTTATAAAAAAAAATAGCGAAGAATTATATTCCGTTTTTTGATTGATTTTGATTTCTATCTTTTGCATAAATATCATTTTGAAAAAGCTCAAAAAATTGGTAAAAAATATAAGTGCATGCTACAATTTTTGCAGATGTCTCTGAAATGGTATCCTTCCTTTAATGGATTTTTCACTTCATTCTTTTAAATTAAAATTAATCAAAGGTCGGATTTTATGAATAGAGGGACTTAGTGGAAGTAATTCAACTAGCTAAGCATTTTAATCGCCCCATGCTAGTTAATATTACTTATATCTTTGCAACCAAATGGCGCTGAACTACCCACCACCGCCGGTTCAAAATATGAATTATCGATTTAAATCCTCATGAATCTTTAATTTTGAATCCGGGATTAAAAATTTGAACTGTTGATAAATAGTTTAGCAACCTAGCTCAAGTTCAATAAATTTGATCCTTGTTTCAATGTAAATATAAAATCTAATACTTGTTATCAAACACCGCTACAGCAATATCCTCCCAATCCACATTCACTTGATCTTCCAGCTCCAGGGTCAACACCAACTCTCCTGTCTCACTATGGTTAAAGGGACTGTAAGCTTTATTAAACCTTACCCGTCATTTGAAGAGTATCTCTAATTAACATCGGTACACTTTAAACCTTTATCTAGTGCGGAAGATATTTACATTTTATCGATGAACCTTTTAGAAATATATATTTGAGATTCTCGAAGAACCTTTTCGGAATAAAATTTAAATTCTTGAGGTAATAGGAATACATTTTAGATTCTCGAAGAACCTTTTTAAATTCTTGAGGAACCTCTCAATAATACATCTCAGATTCCTGAAGAACCTTTTAAGAATATATATTAAATTCTTCAGGAACCTTTTAGGAATACATTTCAGATTCTCGAAGAACCTTATAGTAATACAACTTTTAAGAGTACATTTCAGATTCTCGAGGAACCTTTTAAGAATACATTTTGGATTCTCGAAGAACCTTTTAAGAATAAATCAAATTCTCCTAGAACCTTCTCAGGATACATCTCAAAATCTCGGTGAACCTTATGAGAATACATCTTAAATTTTCTAGTAGGCTTTTAAAGTCAAAACCATTTAAGCGTTTAAAACAAAATAAAAACTATGAAATGCCTGTAAGTATTCGAAATTCGAAATATCAATAGGGAATCTTACAATATAGAGGTTGACATAACTTTTTACAAACGGATCTAAAAAATTCGTTTTTACCTTTTTACTTGTTGTATACCTGACAGCGTAAACCTCTGGTTTCCCTCCATGATCATTTATTGTCCAGAGTACTCCAAGGTTTATTAGACTCACTCCTAATCCACTCATCTAGAAACAGTTTTATATACGCTAATAAAAGGGACTGTAAACGTACTTTCAAATGTTTCATATTTCCTTTAAAATTTAAATTACGAAAATTCAACCTCAATAATAATTTTTAATTTTCTGTCAAAATGATCAAATAAAGAAGTTAATAAAAAAGAAATCATGTTCACAGTCTCCCTTTAAGCTTTAAATTACGAAAATTCAACCTTAATAATAATTTTTTAATTTTCTCTCAAAATGATCTAATAAAGAAGTTGAGAAAAAGTGATTTTGTTAATATTTGGCTTATTTTTTCTTGATATTCTTGGCGGTATATTATGGTATCTTATTGTTCCTAGAGGAACTGTATAATATTACACCCCGCCATGAATATATGACCTCTTGAATGTCTGGATCCTCTACAAACCCAATAGGAACACCAGGCAGTATTTCACAGGGAACTCTGTTGCAGTTCATCTTTTGGAACATATTCAGGAACAGTATGATTATACAGCTCAACCTAGATACAAGGAAAATATTCAGGAACAGTAGGATTATACAGTTAAATCTAGATACAAGGAACATATTCAGGAACAGTAGGATTATACAGTTAAATCTAGATACAAGGAACATATTCAGGAACAGTAGGATTATACAGTTAAATATAGATACAAGGAACATATTCAGGAACAGTAGGGTTATACAGCTCAACCAGATACAAGGAACATATTCAGGAACAATAAGGTTATACAGCTCAACCAAAATACAAGGAACATATTCAGGAACAGTAGGGTTATACAGCTCAACCAGATACAAGGAACATATTCAGGAACAGTAAGGTTATACAGCTCAACCTAGATACAGTTGGAACATATTCAGGAACAGTAGGATTCCACAGCTCAACTTAGATACAAGGAACATATTCAGGCACAGTAGGATTTTATAGCTCAACCAAGATAAAAGGATTACATTCAGGAATCGTAGGGTAATACAGCTCAACCAGATACAAGGAACATATTCAGGAACAGTAGGATTATACAGCTGAACCCAGATGCAAGGAACATATTCAGTAACAGTAGGATTATACAGCTGAACCCAGATACAAGGAACATATTCAGGAACAGTAAGATAAATATCTCAACCCAGATACAAGGAACATATTCAGGAACAGTAGGATTATACAGCTCAACCTAGATACAAGGAACATATTCAGGAACAGTACGATTATACAGCTCAACCTAGATACAAGGAACATATTCAGGAACAGTAAGATAAATAGCTCAACCCAGATACAAGGAATATATTCAGGAACAGTAAGATAAATAGCTTAACCTAGATACAAGGAACATATTCAGGAATAGTAAGATAAACATCATTATCATTATTCTTAACAATATTATAAAAGAATTTATCTCTGTTTCTTTCCAAATACATTCCAATTCCATTCAAATCACATGAATGTCTGTCTTTTGTATTGGGCAAATTAACGTCAAAACGGCTAGACCCATTAAGCCCACACTTAGCAATTCCCATGGACCCACTAAAGGTTTATGGCTTCTCAATTACCTGGAAAAATGCTGATATTTACGATTTTTAAAAGACTACAAATTTAAGCAGAGAAATTAGAAAAGCGCCGTAAATTATTTTTATAAAAATTAAATGTGTTCGTTTTGATCAGAGTCAAAGAGAACTACATATTTTGACAAATTTGTGCGACCGTTATTTTTCAAAATATTGCAGGGGAATTAGAAAATTGTGAAATAAATGTCATTTTGGACTTTCTTTTACTGAAAAAAGGCTTCTGTAGATTTTTTATGTTTAATCGTTGCGACTACTATATATTTCTAGAAATGTTTTAAAGCATGCATTAACAACATTATTTAAGTAAATGAAAATAAGAAGAAATATATTTCACAATTTTCTGGTTCCGTGTATATATGTAATTATTTTAAATAAAAAACGTTGCTAGTGCTTTTTTAATATTTAGTGCAAAAAGAATAAAGAAAAAAAAACAAAAATTCAATTTTAAAATTGTCGTCTTTTGGCGTTATGACATGATTAAAAAATAATACCTAATCATCTTTGAGAGATAATGGTAAGTGGACAAACAGTTACTATTACGCTGTTTAAACAACTTATCAATATTCAACAAATTTATACAGGGGGTCAAATTTTTAAATTTAATAATCAAAAATATAAAGAGAAATGAAAAGACGGTTTTGATTTATTTCATTCAGAAGATTACAAATATCCCGAACAAAATTGAATTGTTAAAACTCAGTTTTATTATCAAATAAAGATTAAACCAGTTAAAAGCGGATGAAAAGTTAAATTTATAGTTAATAATTTAAAAATATCTAAACTTACAGAACTGTCTTTATCTACTTTTTGCTTTTAAACAGCATCCACCGTGTGACGTTCACAATACATCTTTTATTTTTGTTATTTTTTTTATCTGGATGATAAATGCATGATATCTGGATGATATGTGGGTGATATCTGGATAATATCTGGATGAAATGTGGATGATATGTGGATGATATATGGATGATATCTGTGGGTGATATGAGGGTGATATCATCCAGATATCACCCTCATATCATCCACATATCATCCACATATCGTCCAGATATCATCCAGATATCATCCACATATCGTCCAGATATCATCCACATGTCATCCACATATCATCCAGATATCATCCACATATCATCCAGATATCATCCACATATCGTCCAGATATCATCCAGATATCATCCACATATCGTCCAGATTTTATCCAGATATCACCAATCCAATCCAGTATCCTTCTTCAACCCATCATCCTGTAATAATCTAAAATAACACTCATACATACATACAGCACACATATTTAACAATTACTTATTCAATATATGTTATACTGTATTAACTTACCATTAAACCTGTTACAAGACTGTCTAAGTGGAACTTCTATTTATCAAAAAATCAAGAATTTACTGACATTGATTCTAATGAAAACATTGATTTACTCCAAAATGAAATTTCATATCAATTCTTTTGAAAAATCATCAAATATTGTTAAATTCTTACTTAAAAATGCAATTTTGTGCAGTTCAGGTTTCGTGAATACATTGACACAGAAAATGGGATTCAAAAAGTCGAGTTGAAGTCGAGTTTAAGCACCCATATTTCACCCAGTTGATGACTGGGAAAATATTGGATTTACAAATGTCGAGTTTAAGTCGAGTTTATGCACCCAGATTTCACCCAGTTGATAAGTGGATTTCAACAGTAAAGTTTAAGTCGAGTTAAAGTGGAGTTTTAAAGTGGATATTTGAACTCCCAGTTCTCACCCTGATTGGTAAAAACTGGGCTTCAAAAAGTCGAGTTTAAGTTGAGTTTATGCACCCAGATTTCACCCAGTTGATGACTGGGAAAATATTGGATTCAAAAAGTCAAGTTTAAGTCGAGTTTATTCACCCAGATTTCAACCAGTTGATAAGTGGATTTCAAAAGTGAAGTTTAAGTCGAGTTAAAGTGGAGTTTTAAAGTGGATATTTGAACTCCCAGTTTTCACCCTGACTCGGTGATAACTGGGATTCAGAAAGTCGAGTTTAAGTCGAGTTTATGCACCCAGATTTCACCCAGTTGATGACTGGGAAAATATTGGATTCAAAAGTCGAGTTTAAGTCGAGTTTATTAACCCAGATTTCACCCAGTTGATAAGTGGATTTCAATAGTGGAGTTTAAGTCAATTTAAAGTGGAGTTTTAAATTGGAAATTTGAACTCCCAGTTTCACCCTGATTGGAACCAAAACTGGGATTTAAAAAGTCGAGTTTAAGTTGAGTTTATTGCTAGAACAAGGATGAATTTACCCTGGATTTAATGCTAGAACAAGGATGAATTTACTCTGGATTGAATTCTAGAACAAGGATGAACTCTAGATTGAAAGCTATAGCAAAGATGAATTTACTATGGATTGAATGTTAGATAAATGATGAATTTACTCTAGATAGAACGCTAGGACAAGGATGGATTTACCATGGATTTAATGCCGGAACAGGAATGAATTTACTCTTAATTGAATGCTAGAACAAGGATGAATTTACTCTGGATTGAATCCTAAAACAGGAAGAGTTTACAATGGATTCATTGCTAGAAAAAGGATAAATTTATATTGGATTGAATGCTAGAACAAGGATGAATTTACTCTGGATTGAATACTAGAACAAGGATGAATTTACTCTGGATTGAATGGTAGAACAGAAATGAATTTACTCTGGATTGAATGCTAGAACAAGGATGAATTTACTCTGGATTGAATGCTAGAACAAAGATGAATTCACTCTGGGCTAGAGGAATCCATCATCTGGGGAAATTAGACACAATCTAACCTAAAGTTAATTTAGAGGCATCATTCTGGGATTAATATATTTTAAAGTAAAAAATCTAAACCTAATGTTAGTTAGTTTAAATATATCGTCCTGGAGGACGGATTCAATCTAAACATTATCTGGAGAAATTATTCCTGATCTAATGTTAGTTTGGCGGAGAGCTCAGCCTAAGAATAGATTAACTCTAGATATTTCTTGGAGATTTTTGTGCTAACTCAATGTTAGTTTAGAATGCTTGCACCTTGGATGGATTTATTCTAGAAATGTTATAGAGATTTGAGTCATAAACTTATATGTAAGTTTAGTGATCTCTCCCTGGAGAAATCCATCCCAGACTGAGCCCTCTATACGAACCAACATTTGGTAAATACTAATCTCTCTAGGCGATCTTTAGATATCATGTATCCAGTATCTAGTATCCTGCATCCTGTATAATGCTGTATCCAGTATCCAGTAGAGATGGGCAAAGTTTTTGTGAACGAAAAATTTGTTGAGAACGAACGAAATTTGTCTTGAACAATGGTGTCTTTATACAGAAGAAAAGAACGATGAACGAAGGATTTAGATCGCTCAGAGAAATGAAAAATCGATCGTGTTTTCTTAAACAAAGAATAAAAAATAAGCGATTTTATTCGGTTGAAAGATCTTGAAAAAAATAGCTATCCGTGTTTTCACGGAACGAAAGATTTTAATTAAAGTTTTGAAAAAACGATAGTTTTTCATTACTAAACGAACTATTTTTTAAAACCTTTGAAAAACTATAATTTTGTTCATAAAAGAACGATATTACTGAACCAGTTATTTTATTAAACGATCGTTCAGCGAGAAAACGAACAATTCAATAAATAGTTTTGAACGATTTAAAAAAACCGAACGCGCCCATCTAATATGTACGTTGATCGTATGAATATGATTGATTGTATATTAAAAGGGGGGGAGATGGAAGCAAGACAAATTTCAGAACTCGTCGCTTTTTAATTGTCCAATGACTGCAAGTGTTATTGAAGGGGGTGAATGGGTGGAGGGTGGTGTAGCGGGCGGTCAGTGGTTTCCCAGATAGTTCAGTCAAAACTTAACTTTCGTAGAGTGAACACAATATTGTGGCAATATAGTGATTAAAGAAGGAATTGCTTAATAATTTGAAATAAAAAAACTTATTTTCGTACATGGGAATAACTTTTCTCGGTAAGATAAACTAGGTCCCCCCCCCCCCCCACATTACATTTAGAGTTTTTTTAAAGGGACCGTTCACTTATTTGGGTAATTTCATAGTAAACTAAACATCCTATTAGCTGTTTATTGGTATTTGTCGTACTTTTTAAAGAAAACTGCAGTGGCCTGAGAAAAAGCCGATTTTTCGTTCAGAATTCGAGCGCAAAGGGACAGTCCCTTTGTCTGAAACACGATACTAGACGTTATTCAGCAACAACAGCCTAAACAAATTTATCATATTTCAATGCCATTATTTGTTAGCTATTAAATAATAAAATATCAAAATTTTCATATTTGAGTTAGTAGTAAATTTACGTTTTAGTATCAAAACGTGTAAAATGTATATACAAAGACGACGTTGTCTACGACAATCAATTAATCATTACGCAATTTAGGTTCGTAGAGTGAACTCTGCGTTTGATGTAAATAAAATGTACATCTTAACTTGCAATGGTGCAATTGGGAGTAGGGTTTCCACGAAACACTAAATTCTTTTGCGCAATGTTGCTTGGTTTTCCACGAAATTACTTTTTTGCACAAAATTCCGCATCATTTTCGTATCAATACGAAAATCGTGCAAAAATTGCGCAAAGATTTGCTTACGTTTCGAGTAAAAATTGCACGAAATTTCGATGTTTTTGCGCATTGATGCGCAAAAGCCATTTCGCGCAAATTCTGGAGAAAATCTTGGTATGCTGGCCGAATGAGCCCCAATTCTCAGGTTTTAGGTCATCGGACCGTACCGACTATTACACCGTTTCCCATCAATAAATCTCAAGTATAACTGCATGAGTGGGGGCATATTCCCCTCCCTTGCCTCCCCCCTTGTAGAGAGGGGGGGGGGCAAGAAGTCTTCCCTGTTTTGAAATCCGGATTAAGGGGGGGGCATGCCCTGGGAAAGGGAAAGGGGGTTTATTAAGTATTTTTAGATATTTTCACTATAAGTTCTGCCACTTATTATGACATTGCAAAAATGACATATATTCATGCGAATATCATGACAAAATTCTGACTTAAATTTCTTATTCATGCGAAATTATGACATTCAATTAACTACTAGATACTACAATTTTATATTCGAAATGTTTTTTAATCCATGACATCGACAAAAAACAACAAATAGTGTATAGACAAAGTGACTGTCCATTTGTGCTCGAATTCTGAACAAAAAATTGGTTTTTTTCCGGCCCCAGTTGTCTTTGAAAAGTAAGACCAATACTACATCAATAGCTAATAAGCTATTTAGTTTACCCTGAAATTACCCAATTAAGTGAACGGTCTCTTTAAATCATAAAAGAACCTTTTTTTTAATTAATCTTTAATTATTATCACCCCAATCTGTGCATATTTCCGCTTTAGCAGATTTTTTGTCTGGAATTGATTTGTGATGTCACAGTCCCTCTTCTGGAAGCTAAGGATTTTGATAACGAATTAATTTTTTTAATTGTAGCTTCTCTACATAAAGTAACTTGTGCATTTCATACAATTGTAGGAATTATGGAAAATAAAATCTTTGTGAATTTTCTTCATGAAGGTTCACTTGAAAAATTATGCTTACAGTCCCGTATTGTTCAAATATTCTACTAAAATGAGACAAGGTTTTTTGTATTGTTCAATTTCATCTTAAGTGAATATTTTTAAAAATAAATTTTTATCTACTTTACAAGGGAGTGACCGGCAATATATGGTGGTTGAACTGAATGTGTAGTATTGTGGACAAATTTTTAGGATTAATTGAAGACATATAAACGTATCTACGACGTATATTTACTGAGTTTGAGCGCAAAGTCGACGTTCAAAATCATGAATTTGGTTGGGTACGTTTTCAGAATCGTTTTTTAGATCATTAAATGTAAACAAATTCTATAGTAAACTATTTAGTTGTTTAGGAACAGGTTGAGAAAATAAAAATTAACTCTTATCATCGAAAATAAGTAATCTTATCCAATTATTAGTTTCCATAATCTCTCATTATTCACAAAGATTTTCTGCAGATTTTCTGAAATTTTTAAGGAAAAGACAACATTTGAAGAATTTGTAGAAATCGGCGAATAAATTCATAGAAAATAAGAAATTTAAAATAATGATGAAAACGAAATAATTCATTTCATTTCATATTTTCATTTCATATTTTTATTTAACTACAAAGCATGAGATAATACAAATAACAAATCACAATTTACTATGTAGTTTGGAACCGCCTAACCAGAGTTGGTTGTTTTGATTGGTTGGCCCATTATAAGCGAATAAGAATTGCAAATAAATAGATGGATGTACACTGCAACATTGTACATTTTAAACAAAACAATGATGATAAATCATGAATAAGGTAAGGAGGGGGTGAAAAAGTATAAGGGAAAACAGTTATTGTTTTTACAGATATAACTTGCATAACTATCTAAATAGTTTTTGAAGATTTTTCTTTTAAACAGTTTTGCAGATTTAGTTTCAATTTAAGCTCTAATTCAATCGATTTCCATAATTTTGGAAATAAAGCGGAAGGAAAATATTCCGTTTTAAAAAGAACCCGCTCAAGTTTATATGATTTTGTTCTATTTGGTTCAGCTAAAGAATTAATATCACGGAAGGAAGTTGGAAGGTTTTTATAAAAGTATTTATGCATAAAAGTATTCATAATAAAGATAAAACACCTAGTTCATCAAGTATCATCAAGATTTAGAAGTTCTAATCTGAAGAATATTGGATCTGAATGTGCTTTTAATGAATTATTATTTACCGCTTTAATTGCCCTTTTTTGCAAAGATTTGATTTTCTGTAGTTTAGCATTTTTTACGCCCCTCCCCCTCATGTTATAACTCCATACTCAATGTGTGGCCTTACAAGTGCGTTATAAACTAGTAGGCGAATGTTTAATGGTAAAATGTTTTTAATCTGATTCAGAGCAAAAATTGAGCTGGCAATTTTGTTTAAAACATGTTCTATTTGATAATCTCAATTTAAGAATTCATCAATTTTGAGTCCAACAAATTTAAAGTATTTATTTGAGTCAGTTCCTATTCTTTCCAGAGTCTCATTTCCAATTTTTAATTTGCAGTTCTTAGGATCAAAATGCATATTTGTATTCCTAAATATCATAAACTTTGTTTTGGAGACATTTAATATTAAACGGTTTGCCTGTCTTTTTTAGTTCAAAGTTGGCATCATTTACTAAACTTTTGATATGTGGAGATGATTTTAGAAAACCAGTGTCGTCGGCAAATAGATTAGTAAAAAAGACGTTGCTAATGGCAAATCGTTTATGTAAATGAGAAATAGTAGGGGCCCAAGAACACTTCCCTGGGGAACACCACATACAACTGTTTTTCTTTAGAAAAAATACCATTTATACATACATATTCATGAGTCCTATTGCATAGGTAGTTTTGAAACCAGGTGTTAGCTACATTTTTGAACCGTAGTATTCAAGTTTTTTTAAAAGAATATTTAAGTCACAACAGTCAAAAGCTTTCTTTAGATCTAAAAATATTCCCAGTGTAAATTCTGGTTGGGGTTTATTAAGATATTCATAAATTTTATTCATTATATATTAGGATTATGTTTTGGTCTAAATCCATATTGGTGTTGATAGAAAATCTCAAACTTGTAAAAATATTTAAACATTTGAGTCGCTGCTATTTTTTCAAGAAGTTTTAATTGTCTCTACTAAGCAGAGACAATTAAAGGGAAACCAAACCTTATCCTGTCCTGGTGTCTCTAGAGCAATTATAAACCTTCTCATCTCCCGTCCTAATTCTAGTAGTTCAACATCCTTACTCTCATGTAATTTAACTGTACCTAGAGTAATTTTAAACCTTCTCATCTCCCGTCCTTACTCCAGTAGGTCAACATTCTTACTCTCATGTAGGTTTAACTCTATCTAGAGTAATTATAAACCTTCTCATCTCCCGTCCTAACTCCAGTAGGTCAATATTCTTACTCTCATGCAGGTTTAACTTTACTTAGAGTAATTATAAACCTTCTCATCTCCGTCCTAACTCCAGTAGTTTAACATCCTTACTCTCATGTAGGTTTAACTTTACTTAGAGTAATTATAAACCTTCTCATCTCCCGTCCTAACTCCAGTAGATTAACATCCTTACTCTCATACAGGTTTAACTCTACCTAGAGTAATTATAAACCTTCTCATCTCCCGTCCTAACTCCAGTAGTTTAACATCCTTACTCTCATGTAGGTTTAACTTTACTTAGAGTAATTATAAACCTTCTCATCTCCCGTCCTAACTCCAGTAGGTCAATATTCTTACTCTCCTGCAGGTTTTACTTTACTCAGAGTAATTATAAACCTTCTCATCTCCCGTCCTAACTCCAGTAGGTCAATATTCTTACTCTCATGAAGGTTTAACTTTACTTAGAGTAATTATCTAACTCCAGTAGTTTAACATCCTTACTCTCATGTAGGTTTAACTTTACTTAGAGTAATTATAAACCTTCTCATCTCCCGTCCTAACTCCAGTAGATTAACATCCTTACTCTCATACAGGTTTAACTCTACCTAGAGTAATTATAAACCTTCTCATCTCCCGTCCTAACTCCAATAGATCAACATCCTTACTCTCATGCAGGTTTAACTCCACCTAGAGTAATTATAAACCTTCTGATGTCCCGTCCTTACTCCAGTGGATCAACATCCTTACTCTCATGTAGGTTTAACTTTACCTAGAGTAATTATAAACCTTCTCATCTCCCGTCCTAACTCCAGTAGATCAACAGCCTTACTCTCATGCAGGTTTAAATCTACCTAGAGTAATTATAAACCTACTCATCTCCCGTCCTTACTCCAGTAGGTCAACATCCTTACTCTCATGCAGGTTTAACTCTACCTAGAGCAATTTTAAGCCTTCTCATCGCCCGTCCTAACTCCAGTAGGTCAACATTCTAACTCTCACTTAGGTTTAACTTTACCTAGAGTAATAATAAACCTTATAATCAGTCCTAACTCCAGTATAAGGTCGACATCCTTACTCTCATGTAGGTTTAACTCTACCTAGAGTAATTATAAACCTTCTTATCCATCCTCCAGCGAATTGGTGTTTCTTGCTCCCCCCCCCCCCCCCAAAAAAATGGGATCATCAAGTAGAGGTGACTATATATTCCTCTCTCCGAGCAGATTCTTCGTTCAAAGAATGATGTGTTGAATATATAAGAACAACTTTGATATGATTCAATTTCAAATTCAACGCACTGCACACCTCAACTCGATGACCCCATTTTTTGTGGGGGGGGGGGGGGGGGGTAAAAAACATCTATAGGACAAACTATGCATGAATTTTCAATTTTCTAATTTCTATTTTATTAAGTTTTGTCCGACAATTAAAAGTGTTTGTAGCTAAAAGTAACCAATTGAGACTTGAGAGCAGCATAATCAGATTTTAGAATAAACACTCAGTTGCTTGATTAAGTGCTGAAACATTTAATTTTGGTCAAATTGCTGAAAAATATCATATCTTGCCTAAAATGTTACTTTTTGCACTACCTTCCGATTTTGCGCAATTAACACAAAAAATGCGCAAAAACGCGCTAAACTTAACGCAAAAAATCATTTCGTGGAAACCCTTACTATTGGTTTACAACACCAGGGGGTAATAATATTTGGTTATTAAAAATAAAGAGTTAGAGGGAGGGGTTTAGTTCCTCCATAGCGCGGCTCTGTTATTATTTCATGCACAATCTTTTAATTTTCAGAAATAAATAATAAAAAAAAAATTATAAAAAAATGTGTTCTTTTTGAATATTAAGTGAAATATATTTCAGTTATTTTATTTTAAATGATTACATGATTATGGACTTTGTAAATTTATTCAAAACCACATTTTTTTTAAGAGCACGTATCTAAGGATATCATAACTATCAAAAAAAAATTTTAAAAATGTGAAAAAATCACAAGAAAATAAACAAACAAAAAACTTTTTTAAAAGAGAAGAAATTGGATTGTCCAATGAAAACAAAGGGAAACGAACTCAGATTATGATATTATTAACAATCATGCTTTTATATAACAATATTTTTAAAATTCAAAATCGTCTAATTAAAAAAAGATTACAGTAAACAATATGAAATTAACAACTATTACATTTTTAGGCTATCCTTTACTTAAAATGTGCCATACTAGATACACATTTTTGCCCTTAAAACAGTTGACCAGAAAATTTTATTGGATCTGAATCCTTGCATTTTTATCTTTGATGGCCAATACTATTTTAGGAAACCACTCGTGGATTTCTACAGAAAATACTATGTAGTCAATCCATGGATGCAAGACAATAATTTAATTGGATTTTTCAACTACCATTAAAAATTTATATTGCTGTTACTGTCGGTTGCGTTACTTTTAAATGCTTATGAACTCAGGTTTCACAATTAGAGATGCGCATCTTTTTAAGAATTGGAGTTTTTTGTTCTTGTTCTAGACTCCACAAAATTTTTGGTTTTGTATTATATTTCAAAATCCTCAATAAGAGTTATTATATTACATTGTTTTATAAATTCACTATGAACAAAAGATATTATGTAGAATGAGTTATCAACCCTATTTATTTTCCAATTGTAATTCTGTTTAAAGGTCCAAAAGTATTTAATGTTTAAAGGACGCTCTCTTTTCGAAGGAATCTTTTTAAACAAAGCTCTCCTGCATTGGATTATATATTTGAATAGAATGCAGAATATTTGAATTAAGAATATCACTGGCACCAAGTTTATTTATCTCAGCTGTAATATCAACTGTCTGTGATATCTTCCTAACAGCTGTAACCACAGATACTAGAGTAAACTCACTATCTAACCTAGCATCTTTACATACTGATAATTCAACTAATCTATCTAATCCTCCACCAGATAGAATAGATAAACATATACTAGTATATGCAGATAGTCTGCCTATAGCTATTGCAGCTTTCTGTTGAACCCTTTGTGTAGCAGATAGTAGAGGTATAGATGGATTAGATTGTTTATCATAATCTACAGCTAGAAGTAGGAGAAGAGCAGGTACAATATCATGTTGAAGTAGAGCATCTCTTGTATGTTGACTAGCAGCAAGATTAGCTAGAATAGTTGCTACTTGATCTAGTATATATATACTAGTACTAACTTGATTGTATATAAAGGAGAGTAAAGATGGAATAGTCTCAACCTGTGACATTGCTGTGAGTAGAAGAGGAGATATATAACTAAGGTTTGCTAATCCAGCAGAACATAATAACAAGGTTTCAGCAGATTTAGTTTCTCTACAGAGTTTAGTTAAAGAACTGACAAGATCATAAGCATGATGATCAACCCTAGAAGGATCAAGACTATTCTCTATCCAAGGACTGGTAACCTGAGCTAATACACCTGCAGCTTCCATCTGAACTTGTTCCTCTACTCCTGAACCCTCCCTGAGAACTCCTGCAACCAGTTCTAATCCGTCCTTGCTCTGGAACTCATGTACTCCGTCCTCAACACAACAGATAGTTCCCAAGGCCCGAAGTATCATTCCTTTCTCATGCGTTCTTGCTCCAGAGAGTATTCGGAGTAGGGTTGCAACCCCTCCCTCTCTTGCAAAAATTCTACAGATATGGTTCCCTTCTAAACCTAGTTTAGAGACAAGGTTTAAAGAATCCTGGAGAGATGAATCCGTCCTGGCTCCATACAATATATCTATACTCTCCCGTACTATATCTGTTAGTAGAGTTTCTATAAGAGAACTAAACACAGATCCAAACTCACGTAGTAAACTTATAATCTCAGTCAGATTCTTCTTAACAACCCTGGACACACAGATCTTTATCTTGTACAATAGATAAAATATCTTCTGTTGAATGCAAAGCAGTTCGTTCTCGCGAGCAATTCTTCGATCCAACCTGAGTCCAGGTAGTTCGGCGATCACAAACTCGATCTCTCGACCGTATCTCCAGGTGTTGAACCTACTGATGATTCTCTTGACTCCAATCTCCAGGTTCTTCATGTCAGAAAATATATCCTTCTTCTTAAACTCCTCTAGGTTCCTAGAGACATGAATTTTATAATCAAAAAGCTTCCATAGCAACATTTTCGCGAATTTCGATAATAATTGAATTGGTAAATTCATTCGTTAAATTTTTTATATTACATAACATATTATGGTTCTTGACTTTGAATTTATGTTTTGAGAAAAAAATGGGTAACCTTTCATTAAATAAAAATTTCCATGAATTCATTTTTGCCATATATATCAAATCTTTGCTTAAAATCTGTTCAATCGTTGCTATGAAAGGAGAAAAGGTTTTAATTTATATTTCATTAACAAAATGAAAATTGAAGAATTATAAATTTTATTAAACCTAATAACTTAAGGTATTAACCTACACTATACACCCTCTTCTATTAAAAAAGTAATTAAAAAAAAATAAAACTGTGAACAAACTTTTTTTTTAATGCGATAAAATTATATAAAGCTGCATTTCTCAATAAATAAAAAAGTCTTCAAAAAAAACTACAGTGAAACCCATAATAACGAATACATCGGAAGAATTTATCAAATGTTGTCTTGACAATTTGTCAATGAGTTTTATACTATGTTACGTAAATTTCAGTATTTGCGAAAATAAATAAATAGCCATGAATATGCGGGAACGGGAAGAGTTCCATATAATCATTTAATTACAAAACTAAATATCTGCAACATTCCATTATCAGAAAGTGAAGAATACGACATTTGATGAATTCTTTCGATGTATTCGTTATTAAGGGTTTCACTGTATTATGTATGCAAAAATTCTGTAAATGGACCAACCTGCAAATTGTTGCAAAGATATCAGATATTTGAACTGCTTGATCTTGAAGTCCTCGCAAATTATCTAACGTAGCCGTAGTAAAGCTCTGCTCAGGTTGAAGAGACTAAAAAAACAAATTTGACGATTTTTTTGCAATTAAAAAATTATAATTTTTTGAATGAAAAAGTACCTTAGATTGAAGCATATTCATGCATTCAGGGTCAAAACGTGTTGTTAATTCATCTAACCAGTTAGCAACAGGACCACCAGGGGGCGCCACAACTTCACTTCTTAGTTTTATCATGGTTTCCGTCTTCTCTGTTTCTGATGCTGTCCTAGATCTACTGGGTTTAATTGGGGTTCTAGTAGGTTTATCAGGAACAGAAATTTCTGAATGTCGTCTTCTTCCATTTCTTCCTGGATTCGGACTACTCAAAGATTTCTTTGGTCTTCGGAGACTTCTTGGAGATTCGGGTTTGACGGAGATGCTGGAAGTTGAGATTTTTACTGATGATTTAAGATGAGAACTTGAATTTAATAAATCAGGTTTAAGACCCTGAGCATGGTTGATGTCGTCTTCGGTATTTATGATAAGTTTACACTGGTTTACGTAGGTTATAGGTTGAAAGGGGGATCCAGGGCCCTGCTTATTACTCTGAAAAGAAGAGGATCCAGGGCCTTCCTTGATTTTCTGATGAGACGAGGATCCAGGACTTTGCTTTGATCTGGGAAAAGTTCCATGTATCAAATCTGGAATATTTTCTATTCTCCTGAAGGTTGATCGTGTATCCAGGGTTTGACAATAGCTCCGGGTTGGATTAAAAGATCTGGAGTTCAGTGTTGGAGATGATCCTGAAGAAGAAGAAGATTCAGAGCTAAGTTTATCTGACCTATAAGTTCCAAGAGGTACGGAGGACGCTGGACTGAAATATTCATGAGGGACGGATATATTGCTGGAGGATTCATGAGGACTAGAATATCTACGAGGGACGGATAAAGGACTGGAATTTTCATGTAGGACGGATACAGGACCGGAAATTCCATCCCGGAAAGATGGAGAACTTGGTGATTCATTAGAGACGGATGGAGGACTTGGAGATCTATCAGGGACGGATGGAGGACTTGAAGATCCATATGGGACGAAAACTCTTGATACAAACTGATCCTTCTCTCTCCAACCTTCTTCGGAGTCGGAGTAACCAGAGTCCTGACTTTTCATCGGAGAAGCACGAGTAAACCTGAAAAATATTGAATTTTAATTTTACACAATTAACAATATCGCAAAGCCGAATATCCGGCTTGAAGGGACTGTTGAATGACTTGGTCTTCATTTAAAGAGGTGTATATAAGATTCACAACATTGTTCGGCAAAAATACGTTAGTTTTTCTCTGCGAGATAAATCCACAAGTCACTTTTTTAGAGAAACCACATATGAGAATTATATTTTTTATAGAAAACCCCTGTATGTGGGAGGGGGCAACCCCCCGCCCCTCCCACCCTCACTTTGAATCCTTTGTTTACGTCCATTTATGATATTTGATACTTGGTATTGGTATTTTGATTGATGTTAAAACCTCACAATTCACGCTATTTCTAAGTCACCCTGTAGAGAATACATCTCTGGGAAAGAGAAAAGAAAGATGCTTATTGTGTAAACTGTGAAAACTGTGTAGTTTGTATAGTGTGTAATAAGAAGGGATAATAACAGTAAAAGAGTTCAGGGTGGATGAACACATTATAGAAACCAAGGTTTAGATATTTAAACCTTTATCAATATATCACCAGGATATCTAGTAACCATTCAACCAGAACAAACTAAAGCTCTAAACTAAAACCCCGGAGAAATAAAAGACAAAAAACATTTTCTGTTAAGAATATTTCATTACAATACCCGCTTTCTACATAATGCCTCGATCCCACTTTTCAATCACCTGCTAGACTCAGTTGATAAGGCTGACCCCTCGGAGATAAAGAGATCTGAACGAGAACAATCACGCTCCCGGAGATCGTTCGTCCTGCTCCAGTTTAATCTATCCGTCCTTAGTCTAATCTTTTCATCCGTTCTACTTCTCATCATTTCATCCATCCTAACAATGCTCATCTGATTCGTCCTACTCCTAATTATTTCATCCGTCCCAACTCTACTTATCTCATCCGTCCTAAAGCTACTTGAGTTTATCTTATCACAGAGGGACGTACATTGCTTTGTTGCTGAAACTAGAACCTCTGACTGACTTTCGGACTTTCGAGTCTGAGTTCGCCGAAAGAATTTGTGAAGACGACTTTCTGACGACTTTTTCGGACTTTTCTGCACTAACTTTGAACCCTTCGTCTCGTGGGTTTCTCCAGGTCTTGTTTTTAACTTGTTGAGATGATCCTGGTTCAGTTCCCCTGGATGCCAGGAGGTGAGTCCGGTGGACGAAAATCTTTTTTTATTCATTTTAATTCTGAAAACAAAATTATTAGATCTTTAAAACTTTTTTCTTCTTAAAACTCAAATTTTTTCGAATTCTCAATCATTTAAGTCATATTCTCAATCGGATATATGTAACTAATCTTCTTTTATAAAAAAAGATATTGTAAATTGCAAGTTGCAAGAGTTTAATATGGAAAATATTAAAGTTGCAGTCCGAGAACTTATCTTATTAAAAGAATCCTGGTTTTTTCTCTTGAATTGATAAAGTCAGTTTTTTGAAATACTCATTTATATAGGCTAAAGTGACAGTACTGAGCTGCAGGAACTTTTGTGTTCGAAACTCATGATCCTGATCACTTGATCTCGATATCCAGTGTGTGTACTTTTAATTTGAGGATAATTGCTTAATCTCTTCATTTTAGTTATTCCTTCGAATAAAGATTAAATTAATCTGCTGATTAACAATAGATCAAGATCAAGCATTGATCTCAATATTCACAAAGCAAGAGTTTCAAGCTCTGGATATTTAATTATTGAACCAATTTAATATTATCAGGAATGTATGTTGAATAATCTAATATCTAAATAAAAACAAATTAAATACAAGTATTTTTAAAATGTTATGTCCTGGTAATTGTTTGATAAATTTATAATTTAACAGTGCGTAAAAATTCAATTTTACGCAGATTATTATTTCCCATGTAGCGTGTTATCCTGTTCACAATCAAATTTTCTTTACCACCATCATGTTCAATCAGTTCTTGTTTACGCTTTATAGTCTTTAAGCTCCAGAGAGCCTGAAAGCTTCATGTTAAAGGGAGCTTACAAATTTACAAAAGGCTAAGAAAAATACATGGTTGTAAAAAATGTAAAGCTGAGAGGAAGAGTAAAAATAATTTTAAATGAACCTCCGCGCAAAAAGATTGCAATGACCGATTAACAACGGTACCTCTGAAACTTTTATCTTATCAATAATATGGACGATTTTTTCTAGTTTTAAAAAAGTGTTTCATTTTGACTATATTTACATGTTTTCCTGCAGTAAAAATGCGCATGTCACTTTGTGTAAAGAAACCACAATTAAAAATAATTAGTTTTCAAAATTAAAACATTGATTATAATATAATTTATACTTGATCAGACTTTAAGACTTAATATACAGTAAATATAGATACACTACAAACAGTCAGAACGTTCATAAAAACGGAAATTTTACTGGCCCTTTGATCAAAATTCGTAAACATTCCTTTTATCTTTTAATTTTTTATTTAATATTTAACAATTGATTTCATGTGTTGTGGGTTGTAAATTGTAAATACAATAATATGTAAATTTTATATTTGGTCAGAGGGGCTAGGAGAGGGGAGGAGGGTTCAATTGTATTATTTTATTATTATAGCCCTCTAACCATAATTAGATATCTTTCTTTAAATATTTGAAGATTTATGAAATTATTTAAACAACTTCCCATGCATGTAATCATATAATAAATACATATAATTACTGGGATAAGTTTATGCATAGCCTCAATGCGTCTAGAGGGAACTTAAAGTTTTCTAAAAAAGGGACTTATTTAGATTTAAAATGTGTGTAATGAGAAATAAAATTTCGAGTTGCAAAGATTATTTCGTTTGTTTTTTTATAAGTTAATTTGGTTTTAATAAAAATAAGACTTTTCAAAGAACTGATGTTATTGAGAAAAACATGATTTTAACACTTCTTGTTTCCAATATTATTTTCTTAAGTTTACAGTTTCATAAACTTTGAAACTATCTGTTATCAAATAATGATACAAAGCAGCGTTGAATACAAAATATGTTGTGTGTTCATAAAAACATGAACACAATTATAAGTCTACCCACAAAGGATGAGACTTCAGAGAGGATTTTACATACACCCTTCAGTATGTTTAATTCTTGGTTCCCTACAGTTGTATAATTGCTTATATCTTTGCTTACTAGCTTTAACACCATACAAATTAAAATAAAACAAATAATAATCTTAGAAATGATGCATTTAAAATCTTGTTGGTCGTCAGTTAAAGCTCATTCTTTTTGAATCTCCCTGTGTTATAGACAAACCTTAGTACATAAATAAAGTAAAGGTGGCTGACATGCATGGTCGCCTCAAAGACATAAACTTGGAAACAACATACAATATCTGGTTTTTATCCGTCAGAGCTGGAAACTTTTAAATTTAGTTCAATTCAGTTTTACTCATTTTATAAAGAATAGAACTCTTCATTGGTCAAACCTTTGACCTTTGCTAAAAAAAACCCTGAAAGACAGACATATTTGAAAATTTTGGCTTAAATACAAACTTGCTAATGGTGCTAATGATTTTGTTTTTGTGGAAACTGTTTTATTCTTAAAAGTGTTATTTTATGGCATAGTATGGTATAGCACCCACTGCTTTCTACATAGTTCCTACTTTAGCATTTGCTGACGTTTTCAGTTACTTATTCAATATTTAAATATATTTACCGTTTAAGACATGGTAATAAATATATTCAATAAAAAGCTTTAATTTCCCAAACTGATTTTGTTTTTACAAACTCAATTCACTTTAAACTAGATAAATGTTAACTATAGGATTAGGAAGGGAGGAAACTAGGTAGGAAAACTTTTTATTTTTAAATAAACAAAATGTGATAAAATCAACTAAACTCAAATAAAAGTTTCACGGTTGCGTAGCACAGCAACGTATGGTTTGATTCGTATTCATTATCTTATCAAACTAATAAAGCAATGTTCTCAACATGTTTGCAATTAATTCTACATTTTACATTTTATATTCAGATAATATCTTTAAATTTGTTCTAATTCATATTAGCCCAGCTTACCTCCTTACTGTCCTCCTTACTGCCCTCCTTACTGCCCTCCTTACTGTCCTCCTGGGATTGGTTTTAAACCGAATCCATTAATCTGATGTGAGCTCATGTAATATCCTTAGTTGAAGCTTCTCATGTACTTATCACCTATAAATTCTCAATATAGATCAATAGATACCGACGAATCCAACATGTGTACATGTGTGATCAAACACTTTTGGTCTTTAATTTTTTTTGCGAATACATAAGCAGTGTTTTTCATGTTTTTAAAAATTTACTGTCATAGGAAATCAAAGTTTGAAATATCAAAGGTTTATATCATCAGGTTGCAAAATTTAGGTTTATGGCAAAGAGGCAATACCTTTTTACACTTAAATTCAGGCTGAAAAGAATCTATGACTTATTTATACTCTCTTGATCTGTTTGTTTTATTGTTTTTTACCTAAAATAGCTCCAGTGGTATTTTATGTCAGATTAGGATTAGAGAATGGACCTCATTTTTAAAATCTCACCATTTATTAGAATCTTGGCAAAAAAGTTTTTTTTTATAAAAAAAAAATCCAATCAAAAGTTAAGATCGGTACAAGAGACAAAGGTATGTACAAGACGAAAATTAAATTATTCTTTTTTATAAAATTAGTTACTCATTAAAAAACATAGCCAAGAATAAAAAACCTGTACAATTTATCTAAGGGGGTTCAATCCCATGAAGACTCTTTCACCTATCCATATNAGTAGCTATGTATCCAAATACCCAAAGTAGTAGCTATGTATCCAAATACCCAAAGTAGTAGCTATGTATCCAAATACCCAAAGTAGTAGCTATGTATCCAAATACCCAAAGTAGTAGCTATGTATCCAAATACCCAAAGTAGAAGCTATGTATCCAAATACCCAAAGTAGTAGCTATGTATCCAATTATCCAAACTAGAAGCTATGTATCCAAATACCCAAACTAGTAGCTATGTATCCAAATACCCAAAGTAGTAGCTATGTATCCAAATATCCAAAGTAGTAGCTATATATCCAACATAATTCAAATGGTGCATAATAATCCCATAATTTGCCTGCAGTATTCATGTCTGAAGTATTTGTAAATAATTCTTATGCATTATGCATGCGCTCAGTTCTTCGGTTTTTGTTGCTTGGTAGTTAGGATAGTTTTATGAAATTTTAGTTAACAACGATTACAACGATTACCAACGTTCAACCCTTGTACAGTGAGAACCAGAAAACCTTGGAATAAGAAGACGACTTTTAGACTCAGATTATGATTTTGCTAAGTCCAAGGAAAATGAAACACAGCAACTTTGCAGTGTTCGCAAACCATTTCATTAAAAAGTTATGTTTAAGCTAAAAAGTAAAACTATTTGCTGTGTAACGACTCTTTAATATTGCTTTAATGTTGTCTTCCTATTCAATAGTTTTCTGGCTCTCCTTGTATATCATATAAATCTTGAATTAAATGAATTTAACTGTTTTGGTTTAATACAATTAAAATACCGTGCTTGCAGTCTGGTTTATACAATCTTATAATCGTTTAGTTTACATGCATAACGGATATTCTGAGAATGGCAATGTGGAATTAAATAATTATATAGGAACTGATTCTTTGCCACAAACTCAAATTTTCTAATCCCTATATATTTTTAACCTGATGGTGTATACCTATGAAATTGCAAACTAAAATTATTTAATCTAACAGAAATATTAGTTTAAAATATTTAAAGTCGACAAAATTGGTTGAAAAAGAATTAGAATATCAGAGTTTGTAGCAATGAATCAATTCCTTTTTGTCACATATATATTGATATTGAGAAAATTGAATATATACAGGGTGAGTAAAAAAAAGTGTGATTAGCAGCGACTGGTGCAAAATTGTACCTTTTTGTGCAACTCTCATGTATGATGTTTTTTCAATATTTTTTGAAATTTTTTATTTTTTTTGTTATTCCAATGGCCTTAATCACAGAATCACAGAAAATTCGCAAAATTGTAATGAGAAAATTTGCAATTTTCAGTTCTAGCCTAATTTTTAAGGAAAAATGGTTTTTCAATGGCTCTTCAGGTTTCAACTGAACAGCGTATATTTAAAACTTTAAAATATACCAAAAAGAAAAGAACTAGAAAATTTGAATAACTTTTTCTTAAAAATTAGACCAGAACTGAAAATTGTTAATTTTCATTTTACAAT